AAACGTGCACCTGACAGCAGACAACGGACAACGGACAACGGACAGCGCGAACGCCGACGCCTGCGCAGACGCCCTCACGCCCCTTCTGCCCTCTCTGCCGATTCAGTCGACGCCTGCTTCGTAGTGAACCAAGATTGCTGGTGGAGAGAAACGGCAAGTTCCTCGGCCGTTCCCAGGCCATTGGTTCTCGCACGATCCACAGTGCCGTAGAGGAAGCAGTGGGAATGTTTGGTACTTGTATGTCGATGTCGTAGTCTGGATGTATGAAGAGTAGGCGCATGTCGTAGGCAGCATGTAGTATGGAGCACACCCCCCCCCCCCCTACCCTTGCCTGCTTCGAGTCCACCCCCAGCCCTCACGCCTCCCCCACCGCTTACCACACCCTCTTCGTCCCCTCTATTTCTCGCTCTCTCTTCTTTTCGTCTACTGTATGAAAGCAGTAACTACGGAGATCACAGTTGAGCTCCCTACCCAATCCTGGTGGACATAGCCTTAACGCCGTAGCAGCCCCTGCCCAGGTGTCGATACGGTCCAGGAAGGCAAAAGGAGACAAAAGAAAAAAAGAAAAGAAACACAAGGTTTGGCCTAGACTGGGATCGACTCCCGGGGCCACGCCGTCTGCCGTCGACCGTCTGTCGTCCATCGTCCATTGTCGCCGGTCGACCACCCACCGCCAAGGCTCGTCCATCGTCATTTGTTCTGTTGTTCTTTTTTCTGCCTCCCCAACCGCCAGCTGTTTTCTGGTTTTCCAGTCTGTCTCGACCTCCTCGTCTGTTTTTTTTTTTTTTTTTTTCTTCTTTCTTTTTTTCTTTTTCTTTTTATTGTTTCTTTTCCCTTCTGCATATCCTCCCCACCAAACGACACGCCCTCCAGCCACGACCCAGACAACATTATGCTGTGCTCACCTTTGACAACGTCCATGGACCATCCTTGCCCGTCTTGCCATTCCCATGCCTCCTAGCTGTCGTGTATATGACTATATGACTCTTGTCCTGTGTTCTACACATATATCATACTTGGGCCCCGTCCCGTCCCTCTCGGCTGATCGACTTGTTCGTTTCGAACCGACTCTCTTTCACTCGTCGACCTCTTCAAGCCTCAACTCACGACAGCAAACTGTTTTTGCATCAACCAACAGACTCAGCTCTCTTCTCTTCCCCTCTCATCGTCACTTTGCGTCTGCATCGTGCCTCTCTGCCCACTGCCCCCGTCCATCCACTGGATCCCCCAATTTCTTCTCACCAACAACACGGCCTCGCCGCTGTCCGCTCGGTCACTCTGCCGAGCACCAACACCGGCAAACTGGCTCTCGCCGCACAGCCGCCCGTCCCGCCGCACTGGGCTCGCTGGTCCCAGCCGGCACCGCCGTCGCAGTATCATCACCAGCACCAGAACAGCCACCCCCAGTACATGCTCCTGGATACGCAGCCTGTCATGTCGTACGACACTCGCACAACGGCTGCCCAGCATCAGCATCAGCATCAGCAGCAGCATCAGCAGCATCAGCACCAGCACCACCAGCACCAGCACCACCAGCATCACCAACACCAAGACCAACGCCACCACCTGATGAACGCCGTCTATGGAGGAGCCGCTGTGTCTGTGGCTAGCCTGGCTGCCGTGCCAGCGCTCTCCATGGCCTCTTTGACGGGCGCAGAGTCGACGCAGCCAACATCACCACAGCAGCAACAGCAACAGCAGCAGCAACCACAATCACTGCAGATGCCCATGGCCACCTCACCGTACCAACATCAGCCGCTGCCGCCCGCCGCGGCTGTCTCGCCACGTCGACGCGCGGGTGCAAGCTCGCGGCGCAGCAGCAGTGTCGCTACCATCACGGCCGTTTCACCACACCTTGCGGGCGTTGGCAGCCGCGGACGCGTGACCACCCTCAACTCGCCGTGCAGTCCGACGGCAGCGACGATGACGACGACGACGACGACAACGACACCGACAACGACAGAGTCAGCCACGACCACGGCCACGACCACGACAGGCCCGGCCGCTGCTCTGGACACGTCGTTCCGGCCCACGTTTTCGACGCAGGTTGATCTGTTGATGCGGACGATCCAGTCCAAGGCCGACGTGGCTGGCGAGGCCGAGCCGCCGCAGGGCGGTCCGCTGCCTGTCCAGGCACAGGCACAACAAATCAATGCCTTTTCCGGGTATGGCTCGCCGTCACAGCAGCAGCAGCAGCAGTATGGCAAACACCGGCACAGCGCCTCGACCAGTCCGCATCCGACGGGCGCGCACGAGGCCGGACAGGAGGATCGTCTTTCGAGAAGCAGCAACCACTACTTCAACGACAGCAACAACAACAGCAACGACGACGTCGTGCCCGTCAAGAAGCCGTACCCCTGCACGCTGCCCGGCTGCAGCATGACCTTTTGGCAGAAGACGCACCTCGACATCCACCGCCGGTCGCACACGGGCGAAAAGCCCTACGTCTGCAGCTACGCCGGCTGCGGCGCCCACTTCTCGCAGCTCGGCAACCTGCGCACGCACGAGCGCCGCCACACGGGCGAGCGGCCGTTCTGCTGCGAAAAGTGCGGCAAGTACTTTGCCCAGCGCGGCAACCTCAAGGCGCACTACAAGACGCACCTGCGCCTGCAGCCGTACGACTGCCGCCTCGAGGGCTGCACCAAGCGCTTCACGCAGCTCGGCAACATGAAGGCGCACCAGAACAAGTACCACGCCGGCGCCCTGCAGGCCCTGACGGCCAAGTTTGCCGCCGCCGCCGCCGGCGATGCCGCCGTCGAGGCGTCCATCACCGAGGACGAGCGCGAGCTGTTTGGCTACTTTGCGGGGCTCTACAAGAACAGCAACAAGGGCATCAAGGGCCGCGGCAAGCACCGCCGCGTGCGGCCTGTGCAGGCGGTGCAGGCTGGGCAGACTCGCGGCGGCAGCCTGCGTCGGTCGCCCGGCAGCGACGGCAGCAACCACGGCGAAGGCGGCGAGGACGACGACGACGAGGGCGGCGACGACGAGCCGCGGATGACGCAGAGTCAGCAGCAGCAGCAGCAGCAGCAGCAGCAGCAGAGCCTGGCCCCGCCCGTCGTCAGCGGCAGCTACAGCATGAGCAGCATGGTGGTGCCCACGGCGCCCACCAACCATCATCTCCAGCACCACCAGCATCACCAGTCGCAGCCGACCTACCACCAGCAGCACCAGCACCAGCACCAGTCTGCCTATGCCATGTACCACCAACAACAGCCTCTCCCGCCGCCGGCAAAGACCAATCTCTACCAGCCGCACCCGCACCACATCCCGACGCTTCCTCCGTCTCTGACGCCCTCTCTGACGCCCTCTCTGCCGCCGCCGCAGGCCTACGGTGTGCACCACGCCCAGCAGCATCAACAGCAGCAGCACCACCACCTGCAGAATGCACACCAGCCGGGCGGTCCTGGCGCGCCGGGCACCAACACCGGTCCGCCGCCGCCGGGCAGCCACCATCCATCGGATATGCGTTTCCTTGACAATGGCGTGTACTAGTGGACGTGGACGATGAATGTTTTACGGCCTATTATGGATTTGAAAGACGAAGCTTAAATTTGTTTTGTTGTTTTGGTTGTTTGCGCTGCGTTGAATTGTTTTGTTTTTCGCTTTGTTTGCTATACTGTTTGTTATACTGTTTGTTATACTGTTCACTTTGTGTGTGCGATTGTACAATGAGCCTATTTGTTTGTTGTGACTTGTTTGATTTTTGTCATCTTTTATTTGAATTCCTTGTTGATATCTCTGTTTGGCACACTTTCACTTTGTATATTGCATATAAAAACATCAGAGCGACAGACTATTTGAATGGTCTACTTGGAAGGACACAGCAATATGGACGTCCTGCAAGGAAAAGAGGAAGAGGTCGCAAAGTGCAAGGTGTAAGGCTGGATGTGGCCTTGAACTGGCTTGGGATCGGACGAGAGGCGGAGAATTGGAGTCGGCGGAGCGAGCGTTGCATTCTTTTTCTCTTCTTCGACTTGTTTCTTTTATCCATTGTTGTTAACTATTGATACTCATTGACGCGCACATTCATGATTTGCTCAACCTTTCCACTCAAAGCGTATTGTTTTGGTCGTGAGTTGACTTTCAAAGAAGGGACAGTAGGGGAGACGGGCGTCGTTGTAGCATAGTCGGCCTGTAGAGTCGTCTAGTATAGTCGTTTAGCTATCGTCCTTTGAAAAAGTGCGGCAATGATAACAATTCGAAAGAACAGCCAGTCGGAGGTGATCAAGTGCTCGCTGCAGCGACCTGCAGACGCCACAAAATTTCGTCGCATCGAGGGTCGTCAAAGCAGCGGTGTGCTCTGTCAGCTGAAATGCATTTAAAAGTGCCTTTGATGACATGCATGAGATCGACAACGGAATACAAACGCAACACTCAATCAATTGGAGATGAGGTCCGAGCAGAATCCAGACAGTCATCTCAGAAGTGTGCTTGTTGCACATCATAATGTTTCATGCAATGGTGTCCCGCCCATCTCGATGCGTCTGGATTCTTCACCGGTTTCTGTACTGCTGTCTCGCCGTTTCACCTGGAGTATGCCGTCCTCTTCCACAATTTCCTCCCACGCCCAAATCCGCGGTCCACCAATGCTCCAACAATCTGCGATCCACCTCCCATGGACGGCCATTCGATTCTCTTTCCCGTCCCCAAACCGCGACCTCCGCAACGCAGGAGAGGGACGGAAGACGACTCCCAAGGTCCAGATATAGACAAGAGACAGGTAGCTGCGGAGACAAAATGTTGTAGCCATCTTTGCTCTGGCTATACAACTGGCGTAAGAACATATCGACCTCACAGCAACACAGTATGTCCAGGCTGTGCGTGGCTGTTTTGTCCATAGACCACAAATGAGCGTTTTGCTCAGTGGGCAGTGTCCGTCGGTGACAGGAATGTTGCCCTGCCCCTGCTACCATTGGTCGTCGCGGCGCGTGTGGCATTGTACACTGTCCATTGTGCGGCGTTGATTGTTGGTATCTGTCTTTGTAAGACACTCGATCCGCTTAGCCACCGTGCAACGTGGACACAAACAGAATGTTGTCGCCGCGCTGGACCTCGTAGGCTTCCTCGCCCTCCAGTTCCCAGTCGGCATCATTGATGAGCACCAAGATGCCCGGCCGCAGGTGGTCTGCCTCGAGAACAAACAGGTCCTTGCGGCCGTCCGACATGGCCGTCGCGCAGAGGTGCGAGATGAGGAAGCCGACCGTGGCGGGCTGGCCCTGGGTGTCAAGTACGGGCAGCTGCACGTCGAGCCGCTTCTGGTCGGCGAACAACATTTCAAGGCCGCCTCTGCTTGTGGTTAGAGAATGGTGTACAGACATGGAGAGGGAGGAGGGGAAGGGTGGGGGGGGCTCACGAGAACTCGACGACAATGGGAATCGTTTCGCCGGTAGGGACCGACATTATGAGAGAGTGTATGATTGGATGCAAGAGGAGGATGCTGACTTGAGCCTTGGATGAACGTTGAACCAACTTTGGAGGTTGAGGTTGACTTTTAGGCTGTGGGGCACTGTTCGCTGCTGATGCTGGATGGCACCTGCTGTCACAAATAGCTGCAAGGCGCTTGAGCTCCAGCCAATCAGATCACAGGCCTTGTTCACTTTTTCAGCGTCACTCATCGACCCATCGCTCTTTCCCCAACAAGGCTGTAAAGCAGTACTCTCGACGCTCCTTTAATCCACATACATTTCTTTTCATATTTTACATTGTCCATATCTCATACCCCCCCCCATGGCCGTCCACACGGCCTATTTGGCTGCTGGGGCCAACCGGCAGACGGCCGCCGCCGACTGGGGCGCCGACGGCACGCTGTGCTACGGTGCAGGCGTGAACCTGGCCGTGTGGCGGCCGGCCGATGCCAACGGCGTGGCCCATTTGCTTGGAGGACACGGCAGCGAGATCAAGGCAGTGCAGTACTTGGCGGTGGACAGCGAAGACGGCCGGTCCTACTTTGTCAGCGGCGGCGACGACAAGGCGCTGAAGCTGTGGGCCGTGCCGTCCGACACGACCAGACGAGGCGCGCCACCACAGTGTGTGCAGACGATTGAAGACGCTCACGCGGCGCCAATGAACTGCATTGCGGCTGCCAAGGCAGGGCAACCGACGGAGCGTGGCCGGCAGATTTTTGCCACGGGCGGCGCCGACTACAAGATCAAGATCTGGGCGCTGGAGCGGAGGACAGGCGGCGGCGGCGACGCCAGCAGCGGGCCGCCTTTACAAATTGTTCTCCTGCAGACGATCCAGACGGCGCCGCGGTACTTTCCCCTGTGTCTGGCTCTGGTGGCACTGACGGACGGCACCGGAGCGGGAGCGAGAGCGGGAGCCGGAGGGTCGCAGTCGTGGCTGCTCGCTGCCGCTGGCACCAACAACCGCATTCAGATCTTTGGCGGCTCCGAGACGGCGACGAGCATGAGAACGAGCACGAGCACGAGCACAACGGCCAGCACAGAATCTGGCGTCGCCTTCGCACTGCAAGCCAGCCTCACTGGCCACGAGGGCTGGGTCCGGTCGCTGGACTTTGGCTGGGAGGGCGTGTCGTTTGCATCGGACCTGCTGCTGGCGTCGGCCAGCCAGGACAAGTATGTGCGGCTGTGGCGCATCCACAAGGGCGCAGTCGCGCCACCACCGACGGCCTCGGCCACGGCGGCCGCCGCAGCGGTGGGCGACGAGGCGCCGACCGCCGGTGTCCCAGTGCACGGCAAGGGCGGCAGCAGCAACGCACCATCCAACAAGGCACACCGGGTGCGAGCCGGTGGTGACGACGACGGCGACGAGTACTCGGTGACATTTGAGGCGCTCTTGTTGGGGCATGAGGACTGGATCTACAGTGCGCGGTGGACAGCATCGGGCGGCAGCGAGGACAGCAAGGACAGCAACTCACTGCGCCTGCTGACGGCCTCAGCAGACAACTCGCTTGCAGTGTGGGAGGCCGACGCGGCGTCGGGCATCTGGGTCACGACAGCACGGCTGGGTGAGCTGAGCAAGGAAAAGGGCGCCACGACGGCGACAGGCAGTGTGGGCGGCTTCTGGGCGGGACTGTGGTCGCCGGATGGGACAGAGGTGGTGACGCTGTGCCGGACAGGGAGCTGGCGCCGGTGGACTCTTGCCACCACGTCTCGCGCGGCCGGCGACGGCAAAGGCGAGGCGCCGGCCGAGGACAAAAAAGACGAGGACAAGAAAGACGAGGACGCACGATGGATCCAGGCCGTCGGCGCGGCCGGCCACGTGGCGCCCGTGACGGGCGTGGCATGGTCGCGCGACGGTGCCTACCTGCTGTCGACGAGCGGCGACCAGACGACGCGGCTGCACGCCGCGTGGACGAAGCCGTCGCCGTCGCTGTCCGCCTCGTCCCTCGGCTCCTGGCACGAAATGGCCCGCCCACAGATTCACGGCTACGACCTCAACTGCATCGACAGCCTGGGCGCCTCGCAGTTTGTGTCGGGCGCCGACGAGAAGCTGATGCGCGTGTTCCACGAGCCCAAGACGGTGGCGCGGCTGTTGGCGCGGCTGACGGGGCGGTCGGGTGGTGACGGCGAGACGGGTGTGGACGCGCTGCCCGACGCCGCCAACATGCCCGTGCTCGGCCTGTCCAACAAGGCCGTGGATGAGGACGTGGTGGTCGACAGCGAGGCACGTGCCGAAGACGCGAACGCTACTACCGGCGACGCCGCCGCTGGCGACGGCCCACCCCCCGAGGATGTTCTGGCGCGCAACACGCTCTGGCCCGAGACCGAGAAGCTGTACGGCCACGGCTACGAGATCAGCTGCCTGGCCGTCAGCCACGACGGCCGGCTGGTGGCCAGTGCGTGCCGCGCCAGCTCGCTCAACCACGCCGTTGTGCGCCTGTTTGAGACGGCGCCGCGGTGGACCGAAGTGCGGCCGCCGCTGGCCACGCACACGCTGACGGTGACGCGGCTGCGGTTCAGTGCCGACGACCGGTACCTGCTGAGTGTGGGTCGCGACCGGCAGTGGGCCGTTTTCGAGAGGCTGCCGTCGGCGGCGGGAGGGGACGAAAACAACGACGAGCAAAACGAAAAGGGCGCCACCCACACCCCCGCCTACGCCCTTCTCCAGAACAACAGCAAGGCGCACACGCGCATGGTTCTCGACTGCGCATGGGCCCCGCCCGCTCCCTCCACCTCCAACGCCGCCGGCCACGGCGTCTTTGCCACGGCCGGCCGCGACAAAAATGTCAAAGTGTGGGCCTCCAGCGACGGCGAGACGGGCCGGTCCTTGTCCTTTGCCCTCGCCACGACGATCCCACAGGAACACCCCGTCACGGCAGTTGATTTTCTGTGGCGGCCGACCACGACCACAACCGCAACCTCGTCGACGCCCACATTGGCATTGGCCGTCGGCACGGAAGCTGGTCGCCTCTCCATTGTGTCGCTGGACGCGCACACGCTGGCTGTGACGGCGGCCGTGGCGCTCGATGCCAGCCTGTGCCTGCCCCGGGCGGTCTTGCAGCTGGCCTGGCGGCCGCCGACGACCACCAGCTCAATTGATACCGGAAGTGAAACCAACGCCGAAACCGGTGCCGACCTGGCGGTTGCTGGCGAGGATGCATCCCTGCGTGTGTATCATATAGCCGGGGTCTAGCCTGCTGCCTTCTCGTTCTTTGCATTGGGTCATTTTTATACAACAGGCGTCACGGACATGGACACATTGGCAAAAGCAAACAATAGAGGGCATCAAAAGATAATGGAAAAGTCTATATTGTGTGAGCATTATTGATTAAGGTTGTATGTATGTGTGCGTGTGGGTACAGTGAGTACAATGAGTACAATGAGGGCGTCGCCCGTCCTATCCAATGCCGTCCGCTTCCTCGCTCCTAGAACGTAAAACGTCTGTGATTATAGAGTCTTTGTACGCCGTATGCTGTTGTATGTTGCGCGTTGCTTGTTGCTTGTTGCTTGTTTGCTTGTGTTTCCCAGTAGCCAAATGCGCGGCCAACCCGTCCCGTAATGTCGTCCCCTCCAAACGCCGTAATACAACGAAAAGTAAAAAAAAAGAAAGAAATATGAAGTGCTTGATCAGAGGAACAAGCCCATCGGTGCCGGCTGTCACCACCGACTGCTATCACCGATTGCTGTCACCGTCTACCTCCCGCCTACAGCTCCCGCACGACCGTCGCAGCGGCGTCGGCGAGGCTCTCGACAGCCGTGGTAGCTTGCACGGCAGCCGTGGTGCCGGCCTTTTCTGCCACGGCCACGCCCTGCAGTAGGCTCTGGGCTGCGTCAAACTGGCTGTCACCGTGGGCGTAGAACCAGGCGCGGTTGATCAGGAAGGCGACGTGGTGGGGGAGGTAGAGGAAGATGGCGATGGAGGTCAGGCTCGTGAGGAGGAAGAGGAGGGAGTCTGAAGCGTTAGCAAAGAGCGAACGATGGACACGAACGGGTGCAGATGAACGAGCGCAGCAAGGGCACAAAGAAGCGAGCGGAGCGAGGACAAAAAAAAAGGAGACAAAACGTACAAACAAAGAACTTCTCCATGGGCGTCAGCATGTAGACGCTGTAGGTGACCTCAAACTGGTAGATCTTGAGCTGGACCCATTTGCTGAAGCGCTCGAGGGGCGACATGATGGCGGTGGTGAAGATGGCGAGATATTCGATTATCAAAAAGGGGTCGTCGCGTCAATATGCAAAGATGCACGGGTTCACCCGGACGCAGTCTGAGCAAAGGGCCAGTGCAGAGGCGCGAAGAATGGATTTGATGAGTGGTCGGCGGTAGAGATGGAAGATATACTGTCGGAGCGCAGGCAATGGCAATTCTTGATCGTGGGCGTTGTCGAGAAAAGAGATGAGGTAGAATAGTGTTGATTGCGAAAAAGGGACGAGAATGGCTGCCATTTCCGGATGCCCGGCCACTGGGACGCGCCACAGGGAAACGGGAAACCGCGGCGGTCCATTGGATAGTCAGGGGTCCTGCAGGCGTTGGCCAGTGGCGCGCAGGCCCTGAAACTATCTTTCCCTCTGACTGGCAGCCCCGTTGAAATATTTTCAATTTAGATTTACTGGTCACGTGCCGATCGTCTAAACCCGCCAAACCACCACATACCCTGTCCGTGCTAAGACACACCTGAGGAACACGGGCCATTCAGTATAACGTCGCCGCTGAGCATAGGCACATCACTGCACGACTGTACTCGTCACGGGCTTGTCCTTTGAAACAACTTGAGCTGCCATGCATTGAGCAACAAATCGGAGAAGAGCAATGCCTTGTATATTTGTTTACATTTTCAGCGTACAATACTCGTCTACAGCTTTGTAAAGCTTCTGTACGTCCTCAACCTCCAATGCGCCCTCTCATCTCACTCTCGTGTGGGCGCGCATGCCATTTTGGCATATCTCGACGTTCACAATATACGGCCGCTGCGTGCCAAGCACCATGGCCATGGCGTGCGGCCGCTCCATCGCCCTCGGCGGCCCGGCCCTTTTCTGTCTCGGCATACGCAGCTAAAAAGCAAATGCCGTCGCGGCCCAAGCCACCCCCGGAAGACGAAATCGACGAGATGTTTGTCAAAGGGACCGGGCCCGGTGGTCAAAAGATTGTACGATTTGTACAGTATTTCTCTTTGTAAGGAATTTTTGTGACTGACATATACTGACCGGCGGCTGCGTCCGCGTGTAGAACAAAACAAACTCGGCCGTGCAGCTCCGGCACAAGCCGACGGGCATTGTGGTCAAGTCGCAGGCAACGCGGTCGCGCACGGAGAACCGGGCGATTGCGCGGTCATTGCTCGCCGCGCGGCTGGACGAGCTGGCCAACGGCGCAGAGAGCCGGACAGCAGTCGTGGCGGCCGCGAAGCAGAAGAAGAAGGCCAACGCGACAAAAAAGGCGCGACGCAAGTATCGGAAGCTAGAGGAGGAGGCGGCGAAGGCTGGCGCGGTGGAGGGCGAAGAAGGTGCAGAAGACGAGAGAGCAGCAGTAGAAGAAGGGGAAGAGACGAATGAAACACCGGCAAAGCCAGAGGCAGAGAAAAAGTCTATGAACGGCTCTGCTCGAGATTCGAGCGATGTGGCTACGGATGACGCAAGAAATGTTGAGGGCGATCGCTTACCTAGGTCAAAGGAGAACGCAGGTTCAGACCAGTGACAGGCAACTTGAAACATATGAAAATGTCTACGAATGTACAACATTCCACGTGCAGTCACGAGAGACAAGGAGCTGGACGGCATCAAAAAGAAATAAATAACCGCAAAACTCGAGTCAATGTCAACCGCCCGTCTCAATCATAAAAAAAAGCTAAGGCAATAGGGAAAGCAACCGACAACAACCGCAAGCCTTGTGAGAAACAGAAGGGGGAGAAAACATTGTATAAAAAAAGTGAATTCGTATAATCAACCTCCGCGAGAAAAATGTGTTTTTGGTTTTTAGTTTTGGAATCGTTTGGATCTTGCTCTGCGGTGTTCCTTCCAGCTTGACTTCCAACCGCTGCTCGCCAGTCTTCCTTTGCCCCACCACTGTGTGCCTGACTCCCGCGTCCTACTCCCTCCCTCCCAAAACAAGAGATAAAAGAGAAGAATCAAACTTTGGCCAACGACAACCTAGGTACTCCTGTAAAAAAGCAAACGGGCGCCGGATCTCGGCTGCAACGGCGAAACAAACCCCCGCATAAGCGACACGAGTGTAGAAATCTTGAAGGCTAGTGTAGGTGCAGCCGGGACAACGATGGTCGGGACCGGGTCGGTGGACAGCTGGCCGTCGAGGTCGTCGTTGTAGTAGCGGCGCCAACACAGGCATTCCAGATTCGTCGTCTCGCCTGCTTAGACCGGGGCTCGCGTGGGGAAACCGATAAACAAGAGCCGCATCTTCCGCGTGTCCTCGTACGTCGCTTAGAAGCACTTGCGGTGAACGATCGAGGGACCGCTCTCGTCGTACTCCTGCTTCGAGATCCACATCTGCTGGAAGGTGGACAGCGACGCCAGAATGGAACCACCGATCCAGACGGAGTACTTGCGCTCGGGGGGAGCAATGATCTTGACCTTCATCGACGAGGGGGCCAGGGCAGTGATCTCCTTCTGCATACGGTCGGACAGACCCGGGTACATGGTGGTACCACCAGACTGGAAGGACGGGTTAGCATATTATAGAGGCGCTTTCCACGACTTGAGCCACGCTCGTCCATTCTCTTCTCTCTCCCGTCATTGTGTCATTCTGTCATTCTGTCATTCTGTCATTCTCGCTACTTACCATGACAATGTTGCCGTACAGGTCCTTGCGGACGTCGACATCGCACTTCATGATGGAGTTGAAGGTGGTCACGTGGATACCGCCGTTCTCCAGACCCAGGACAGAGGGCTGGAACAGAGCCTCGGGGGCGCGGAAGCGCTCGTTGCCAATGGTAATGACCTGGCCGTCGGGCAGCTCGTACGACTTCTCCAGCGAGGAGCTCTGGGCGGCGGTCTGGATCTCCTGCTCAAAGTCAAGGGCGACGTAGCAGAGCTTCTCCTTGATGTCACGGACGATTTCACGCTCGGCCGTGGTGGAGAAGGAGTAGCCGCGCTCGGCCAGAATCTTCATCAGGTAGTCGGTCAAGTCACGGCCAGCCATGTCGACACGGGCAATGGCGTGGGGCAGCGCGAAACCCTCGTAGATGGGGACAACGTGGGTGACACCGTCACCAGAGTCCAGAACGATACCGGTGGTACGACCGGAGGCGTACAGGGACAGCACGGCCTGGATGTTGACGTAGAAGGCGGGGGCGTTGAAGGTCTCGAAGACGATCTGGGTCATCTTCTCACGGTTGGACTTGGGGTTGATGGGGGCCTCGGTGAGCAGGATGGGGTGCTCCTCAGGGGCAACACGCAGCTCGTTGTAAAAGGTGTGGTGCCAGATCTTCTCCATGTCGTCCCAGTTGGTGACGACGCCGTGCTCGATGGGGTACCGCAGGGTCAGGATACCACGCTTCGACTGTGCCTCATCACCAACGTACGAGTCCTTCTGGCCCATACCGATCATGATACCATGGTGACGGGGCCGACCGACAATGGACGCTGCAGGCGGTCAGTGTTGCGTTCCTTGTGCCCGCGCATGTTGCGGTTGTAACAAAGTTACCCGCCTCGACCCTCCTTTTTTGGGCTTGTCTTGCCCTGATGCACCGTCCAGCCAGCAGAGATGTGCTCCGGATCCGCCGGACGCAGCTGCTCGCAAATTGACGCTTTACGGGGCAAGATGCAAAAAAAGCAAGGGGGTGGCAATTTGTGGGAGGGTGATCACTTACGGAAAACGGCACGGGGCGCATCATCACCGGCGAAACCGGCCTTGCACATACCCGAACTGAAGGGGACGTTAGCATGGGGAACGCATGGCAGGAAACAAACACATTCTAGCGGTTGCAGCTGTCGACGATGATGAAGCGGTCGAAGCACGAGGGACAAGGAAAGCATAGCCTGCGCGTGGTTGCTGTATGGCGTAGCTTTTTGTATTTAGGGCGCGCCCGCCTCCTCATTTTCCTCGAGCGGTGGGTCCCTAGCTTCGGCCACATCATCGGTTTTGGGAAGAGGGGTTTCGGGCGACCTGCAGCACCCAAGGCCGGATTGCGATACCAAAAAAAGAGAGGAAAGCATTGCCCGGCCCCGGCACCGCACCCGGAACGAGGCGGAGAGGGAGAGTAGCTTACCCATTGTCGATAACGAGAGCTGCGACTTCTTCTGTTGTGAGGGCATTGGCATTAGCATGTGCGTCCTACTCGGGTAGCAGGCTCGGTGGAGATGGAGAGCTCGGACAAGGGACAAAAAGGCGGTGGAGGAGATGGAGCAAGCAGAGGTTCTGCAAAAAACTGCGCATGAGGATAAGAAGAGGTAAGGGAAAGGAGAGGCTCAAGGAGACGAGGTAATTCACCGACACTCGATGCTTCCGGAGGAGACAACGGCGGAATGGCGAGAGCAGGCAATGGGAAGAGGGGAGACGGCGGCCGAGCAGCGCCAGATAAGAGGCAGAAGAAGCTCGCACGAAAACGAAGCATCTCTGGAAATCAACATACCTTCCATGGCGACGGTGTTGACGAGGGAATCAGGGAAGGATGCGAGGATGGGAACGTTGACGAGCGGAAAAGGATGATGCGAAGAGCGAAACTAAGCTGAAGTAGAGCTTCTGTTGATGGATGAAGGAAACACAAGAACAGGTTCAGGGAAATAGGGGGGTGGGTGGTGGAAGTTCTTTATGAAAGACGGGCAGCGGTTTTGGCGGGGATTGGGAGTGAGAGAGGGCGAGGGGCGGTGGTTGGGGCGAAAGGAAAGGGGGGCAGTGGCCATTAGTGGAAGTCGCGAGAGAGGGGGGCAGTTGTGTGGTTAGCTTGCAGGCATACGAATTACTTTGGTCTAGCACAAATAGGCTCCCGGGAAACACACATAAGGAATAGGAGAGGCCGATTTGTGGCTGAGGATGCCCTTGTTAGCCCTCTGGCTGGTGGAGGTATGGCGTATTCCTGCGGCAACAGAGTGCGAGGCAACGGTTGCAGTGAGCCCTGGGAGGAAGGGGCAGCCCGAGATTGTGCGCTTGGCTGGCCGGACAGGCCACCGCTATCTGCACGATGTGTGCTTCTGTCCCAGGAAGGAAAAAGGCGGGGAGGGGCAAAGAACCAGGGAAGGAAGGTGTGGGATAAAAACATAAAAACGACCCTGCCTGGAAGCAGCAAGCAGCAAGCAGCAAGCAGAAAACAGCACAGCACAGAAACAGGCGAGGGCATACAGAGAGACCAGCCTACCAGAGCAGAAGGCGCCCTGCAGGATTGTCCGTCGATGCTGTCACACTGTCTTGCTTCCAAAACTCGCGGGCTGGCCGTGCCTGTCATTTCAAACGTCGGCCGAGAAGCTCTGTCTTGCCAAGAGGTATTTCAAAAAGGTACATTGAAAGTGGTGGTGGTGCACAGGCTCCAGCAGGTACTCCTTGTTCTGTGCCCCTCTTTCCCCTTTTTTTGCTCTTGCCTACATCCACAACGGCGTTAATCACTGGTCTGTGGCTGTACAGGGCTAGCGGGCGCGCACTGTGCTGTGACGTGTGGAGGGCTGGACGACCGCATTTGATATCAAATCACCAACGCAGCATCACCAGATTAGCACATCTAGGCATCCGCAAAACGAGACTACAATCAGCCAAGACAAGAATGAGGAAACAAGCGGACCGAGTTTGAGGGTTGCACCAAATGAAACACCATACGACACAGCCTTCGGCCGGAATGGCGTCAATCTGGGCTGCAGGCAGAATGGAAAATGGAAAAGCCCAAACAAGGCTACCGGAGCTCATAACCTGAAATGCATGGCTGGAGCCTCGTGGCTGGAAAGGAAATGGAAATGCGAAACAAGAGGGATTGGAGCTGCGCGGTTTGTTGTTATGCTCTGGGTGACAATGACGACCAGGCTGCCGTATTTAATTCTGAGGCTCGCCGCCAAATCAGTGCTTATCGCACTGGACTGTGTAAATACTGTCTCAATTCAAACTGTGTGGCTCCCAGTGTGCCCCACTTTGGCGTTGCTCTGGCCCTGGCCACCGACTGGCGTGGGGCGCACAAGTGGCAGGAGCAAGAATACGGCTGCCTCTGGTTTCTCTTTCCTCGTCAAACCGGGCCGGCGACGCTCGGAGCAGGCGACGACAAACAAAATGAACTTTTGTGAAAATAGAACAAAACGACCGAGTGACGAGCCGATGGAGCACGACGCCGCTCACACGTTGGCACCGGACCATTCAGAAGGCCGTCACGCCTCACTCTTCGTCTGCTCAGCTGCGGCCAAGTGCTGACGTACGCACGGCTTGAAGGCGAGTTTTCTGAACTTTATGATAATAGTTTACGGGTTTCCAAAGATTGGAGGGGAATCGCCCTCAGAATACAAAATACAGCACACAAAGTAAGTCTCACGCGTACATGTCACAGAGGGCCAAGCAAGCCACCGCATCAGCGCAGAGAAAGCCCATCATCACACATCCGACATAGCCTCCCTTTTGTTTTCTGACTTGACAGAATACTCAAGGCTCCTAGCAGGTGAGGCATTTCCAGCCTCCAGCAATCATTCGGACAGGTACCCATGAGACCACGAGAGGCTGGCAATGTCTAGTCCGGTCCAGTCTATCGGGAAGAGTGCCTTAGCAGAACCACTCCCGCACAGTAGCGGACTTCTCCAGATTACAGACTGTCTGCCATATCCACGAACCACAAACCCCGGCCAGATCACAGGCCAGACCATACCCGTAATCCGTGCGCTGCCGTCGCGTAGGCACCAAAATAACACGATGGCCCAAGACGATGTGATCTAAATACCAGAGGAGGCAGCAGGATTTATCTCAGTTCGTGTTCTTGGTTTCTATCCCTTCAAAGCAGAAACGGAGCAGACCCATCCAGGCTGGTAAATTCCCGGATGTTCTTGTGCCCCGTACTCCGTGCGTTTGTTGCTCTAAATGTTTCCATAATTAACCATCCAACACCACACCACAACGTCAGTGTGCATATGAAAGCGAGCAATCCTGTTGGATGTGGTTCATCTGGGCCGGTCCAAAAGCCCTAATGCAAGGCAACAGCCAATTCAAATGGACGGCGGACATTTATGATTTGCCGCCAATGTTCCAGCAGGAATGTGATATGGTGGTATGCGACAGCAACAGAAGCCATCCGGAATATTATTCATTATTTTTAGAGAAACCGCACATTGTCTTTCCCTTGTCTCAGCCACACAAACATCATGAAGAATCTGCCACACGTCATCTAGAAGGCTACATCTCTCACATATTTAGTGGTTGTATGTTGTACTTCGTAGTATACCACACAATGTATTGTGGGGTCTTTTGTGACCCGCCTTCACTGCAAAATACGCTAACCTTTTTTGGTATAGAACCTTCGTGAACTTTCCTAGAATGGAAAAGAAGCTTCAAGCAAAGAAAAAATGTGGCCGCATCATGAATCGCATCTCATAAAAGAAACGACGAAACCGGCACGGCAACGGCCATTCCTTGCTTCTGCTCTTGTCCTTCTCCGCTGTCACGCCAGCGTTCACGTCTATCACCCCTCCTCCTACACTCTCAACACAAACGAATCACGTTCGCAATGGACAAGGGCCTCAATGAGCTCCTCAAGTGGGGCATCGAGAACTCCTCGACCAACCCCAACGACCCGTCTGCCGCGGAGGCCGCGCCCCCGACCAACCGCGGCCTCAACCCCGAGGTCCTGGCCTCTCTGTTCGGCGGCCCCTCCGATGCCGACCTCATGAAGGCCTCCATGGCCATCATCGTCAGCACCGAGGACAGCCCCGAGAACACGCTTGAGAACAAGCTCGTCGCATTCGACAACTTTGAGCAGCTCGTCGAGTCGCTCGACAATGCCAACCTCATGAGCAGCCTGGGCCTGTGGACGCCGCTGATTGGCGTGCTCGAGTCAAGCCCGGAGCCCGAGCTGCGGCGCATGGCCGCGTGGTGCATCGGCACGGCCGTCCAGAACAACCAGCCGAGCCAGGAGCGGTTCCTGGCCGTCAACGGCGTGCCGCTGCTGGCCAAGTCGGCCGCCAACGGCAACGAGTCGCCCGCCGTGCGCCGCAAGGCCGTGTATGCGCTGAGCTCGGCCTGCCGCAACTACCAGCCGGCCATGGACGCCGCGCTGACGGCACTGGCCGCGCTGGCCGCCAATACGGACGAAGCCACCAAGGTGCCCGTCCCAGCGGGCCTGGCGGCTCTGCCGACCAAGGTGGACGCCGGCAACATGGACGCCGTCGACCAGGTGATTGACGTGCTCAAGGCGGACGTGGCCACAGCCGAGGCTGCGGCGTGAGCTGGGTCAGGGCCCAACTGCATGCTTCATTAAGATACCTTGCTTTATTTCGTTTACGTTATCCCGTTTTCATTGCACGACACTGGCGTTAGGAGTCAAACGCAACGTTCATAGAACCACGTTGCCATTGGTGGGCAGTTTCTGCTATTGAGCATATATGCATCTACTATATACATTGGCAATAAACAAAGTACACATTCATAAGCGGACAAAGCATACATTGCGCTTGTAACAGTGCCCCCTAACATACAAGGCTTTATTTATAGAAATGAAGATATGCAGAGTATATAAAACAATCATACAATGTATAATGTACAGCTACCGTTTTAGTGTCCCACGACACACAACACCCTATGTCCCCATTGTCCCGTCTAGTCGCGCAGCTCGCCGACGAAGGGCAGGCCGAACGAGCCCAGCAGCAGGCGCGCATGCCGGTCCGACTTGGCCGTCGTCTCCACAAAGATGCGGTAGCCAGGAATCATCTTGGCCGGATACATGGAGTAGTTGGCCTCGATCTCGGGGAACAGCGCCGTGGCCTCGCTCGTCAGACCCCACGCCAGGTTGCCCGCGCTGTCGCCCGTGCTGCCCTTGACGCCCTGCCAGTCCTTGATCCGCGGCAGCACCAGGTGGATGCACTTGTCCAAAAAGTCGTACGCCTCGTTGCCGTACAGCGTCACCTTGACGCCGGCCTTCTGGCCTTTGATAATGCCCCACTGCGCCACGTTGTGCTTGACCGTCGTCACCGTCGGCACGACGCCCGTGATGGCCTGCGTCACCATGCGTGCCACAACCAGCCGGTCCGGATCCTTGGCCGCCTGCGGCACAAAGGCAGCGAGCGTGATGGACCGGAGCTCGGGGATGTTGCGGAACGTAATGGGCTTCTCCAGCGGGCGCAGCACGGGGTCGCCGCGGGGGCCGCGCAGGGGCCGGTTCTTGTGGTAAGGGGACGTGCCGTCCCAGCTGCGCAGGCGCTGCGGGGTCGGGACTTTCTCGGTGCCCGGGGGGACGTGCGTGTACATGAGGGTCATGAGGTCGGACGCGATGGTGGTGTTGTAGGTCTGGCGGATGCGGTTCATGTGGAACGGCCCCGGAACAAAGTCACGCGCAGTGGGGTCGGACGACGCGGGCGACTGGATGGAGTGCAGCGGGCCGCGGTCGTACTTGGGTGGATGGAATTGGTATCTGACGGTCAGTATGCGAACGCGAGAGCTTGCACAATAGAGCACATGGGGGCCTGAGAGCGGGGCGCGAGGACCGAAAGAGAAGCTTACCTGGATCCCGGTAGCCGTGATGTCCGCTGCTTGGCGCGCTCGCGGGGCGGCAGCATATTGGCGGCTATCTCAGGCTGTTCGGGAGTCAGGAACGACGAGTCAAGCTCGAGGTCTTCGAACACCGGGTCTGACGGCGCTACTGTAGAGGACGGCGGTTGTGGTTGTGAGGAGGAGGCATGGCGAGTTGCGCAGCGGCCGAAGCTATTGTGAGAGAGGGTCGTTGTCATCGCAGGCCGTAATGGCGCTGTGGCGTGCCGACCCGCCGTGCGGGCGATGCCCCATACGCTGGCCATTGTGTATCGGGTGGATATGCGCGTGCGCCAGGTGTCGTGCGCGAGGACAATGGCTGACGAAACGACCCGGCCGGATGAGGTGTCGTCAAGACGTCGTACCAAACGGCTGACTTTTTCTGGTCGTGAAAAATACAGTCGCGAAAAGCTGGCCTGTAGGAAGACGGTATTGAACCGAAAAGTGGGCCGTTTAATATGTCACGTGCAGTGATTTGGCACTTATATCAGCAGCATCGAGCGACCAAACGACATACTTGGAACCACGGCGTAATGTGGCTTCCAATTCCTCAGAAGATCTAGGCTGTTTCCTTACTTTACGTTTTTCGGTTCATTGAGAATATGCTTATCGGTGAATTGACTTTCCATCAAAAAACTGGTAGCTTCTATGTGGTCTGGATACGGATATAATCATTGCATTTCATCGACATTTTTCGGCTCTTCTTTTCTCAGGCTCAGAAAGACTCAGCCGTGACCTCCTTGTAAATAGCTCCCATGTATCTGAGAAATACTCTGGATCCCATGAGTAGTTTTCCATGACCATCCCCATATATATTTCTAGTCTGCTTTTGATTTTGCTGTGACCCTTTTCCATCTCATGTAGACGACTCCTTTAAAGAGCAAAAATATGAGTAAGAGATTAGTCATCAAACATACACTGCTGTACGGCCACAACGGGAATGCGCCCGACACGCGGTCTAGCGTCTAAAGCTCCCTGGAGCTCAGTTCACATACGCTAATCCGACTTGGAACACAACAAAGAAACAAAGAACAGCACACGATGCGAAGGCCTCGACTCATTCAACTAAGCCAGCGTAACCCTACATTTTTGCGGAATCTCCCTGCCTCCCACCTGTTTCACGTCTGTGCTCCATTCCACGCCGTCTTCCACCCCCGGCGAGCCATGGCCAGCTTCGCCGTCCACCCCATCTCCCGCTTCCACGGCCAAAGCCAGCCGATGCGCCGGCCCAAGGTGAGCTGTCCTGAGCCCACTTGCGTTGCTTGGTCACCGGGCTAACGTATTGCAGGAATTCACCTGCTTCTCGTACGACGATGACCACAAGCTGCACCTGGACGACCGGTCTCTGCGCTGGTACTACCCACCGCAGTTTCCGCAGGCAGACCTGTCGCGCGGTTTCGAGACCTTTGACAAGCTCGACGACGATGGCGTTGACGAGCATCTCGACAGCCTGTTGGCGTCGGTGGTGGCACATGAGCAGAAGACACAGACGAAGATCGACGCGCACGTATTGACGTGGCGCGGCATGATGACCAAGGTACGTAGCCGTTCTTTTTTCACCGTAGAGAGGAAAGCTTGCTAACGAGGATGGTTAGATTTTGGCCGCTCCATATGACGACCGGGACGGGTAAGGAATGAGAATCAAAACACTCTTTACTTGATTTTCTGACGAATATGGAATGTACTGACAGGCATCAGTTTCGAGATGAATGCCACCCTCTACCAGGTGAGCTTTTGCATATTTATGACACGTTTGAATTCTCGTGTCCTATACTAACCATTTTGCCGTATGGAAGGGATGCATGTGAGTAGCGATTCTGTTCTGAATGTATTGTACAATGTTTTTATCTGACAGTTTGTCAGCTTCATTGAAGAAAATCATGCGTACAAGGTGAAATCGCGTCGCGAGCAGGAGTCCCGCCAGAACCGGCCACCACCAAGGCAACACCCTGATCGGCCGTGGTTCCCGCCGGACGTCATGTCCTACTGGGGTGCGTACTTGTCCGTCTTTTTTTTTCCATTCGTCATTCGTCAGTCGTCGTCGTATCGCACTCACACGCTCAGGCTACAAATTCGAGGCGCTGGCTACGTTGCCGCGGCCCTGGGGCGAGGTCTCCCGCGACGAGATCGAGGCCCGCGACGACCAGATTGTCAGCAACAAGGCCCAGTACTGCTCCGTCGTCCGCACGGGCATTGGCAGCACCATTCTGTGCCTGGGCGGCGAGGTCGACGCGGTCTGGGACGCCAAGCCGCACACGCAGGGGCAGCCCATCCGCTGGGTCGAGCTCAAGACCAGCCAGGACATCCAGAGCGACCGGGACCTCGAGGCGTTTGAGCGCAAGCTGCTCAAGTTTTGGATCCAGTCGTTCTTGCTGGGCGTGCCCACGATTGTTGTCGGGTTCCGGAGCCGACAGGGCCGGCTGGTGCGGCTCGAAGAGATTTCGACCGAGGGCATCCCGGGGACCGTCGTCCAGCGGGCACGCCAGCAACAGAGACCAGCGCCACCGTGGGACGGCGACACGTGCATCAATTTCGCGTCGGCGTTTCTGGAGTGGCTACGCCAGTCCGTGTTCGGGGTGGGCAAGGACGAGAGCGAGCCGAACAGCGGCAGCGACGGCGTGTGGCGAATCCGGCGGCGACCGGGTTCACCCGAGATCGAGGTGTTCCAGGTGGAAGAAACGGGCCATGGGAACATTTTACCAGACTCGTTTCTCAACTGGCGTATCAAGCTAGCACTCGGTGCAGACACGACGAGCGGTGCCACGGAAGACCGGTCAGCGCCAGATCCTGGGCCAAGCGGCGAGGATCGAGGCAGTTGAGGGGAGGTAAGGTATGGTGATAACAACTTAAAAATTACCTCATTGGCAATTTCGTTACGACTTAGCGATTTTGATTAAGCTATGATTGATACCACAGTTTTATATGCACATCTATTTTGGTTGAAGATGGTATATATTAGCAAGATCAACTCGATGAACTATATGCAGATGGCAGTTAAATCAAAAATCGAAAGAGACAGTACAAGAACGAAATCCATTTCCCAGCGCCATGACGACGATGCAAGACCAAAAAATGCCAACGCAACAGATGCTATGCTGGACAATAAAAATAGGAAAAAAGAAAAAAAGAAGGGAAGAAAATAAAAAGGCAAAAGGTTGGAAGGCAAAACAAGAACCCGCGGGAACAAGAAAATGAAAATAAGCCACAAAACATCAACAGTTGAAATCAAATGGTCCTCCCAACTTTCGTATTTTACATGTTTGTACATGTTTGTACATGTTTGTACACAGCCAACTGTCTTGCTCAGACAGCTGGCCAGCGCCGGCGGAGCCCCTCGGCCCATCGTCTGTAGAGAACGTCGGAAAGCTGCTTCGAGTGCTCCATACCTGGGGTCGCTTCGCGTCCCGGGAACTTGGACTGCAACAGCGCTTTCTCCATTTCACGCAGGTCTCTCTCGGGCAGCTTGTCAAGTACCGGAGTGTCAGCTTGAACAATGCTGCCGTTCCGCCGCCTGTGGCTCTTCAAATGCGGGTTGGCCTGACTAAGGATCAGCTTTGTCGGAGCCGGCGGGGGCACAATGTTGTTAGACTGGACGGTTGGGTTGCTGTTGCCGTTCTTGATTACAACGGTACCCTGCGGTGTGCCATCCTGAGGTGTCTTGGAAATAGGCTGCTGAAACTGCTGCGGGAGGAAGGCGCTGCTCAGGCGCGAGTCGTTTGCGACGCCCGCCATCATGCTCTTCATGAAATGGTATGCACCCTCAGGGTCCACCGCATCCAAAACGGCAAATGCGTCGGACAGCTTGGCAAGCGCCTCGCGCTTCTGTAGCGTAGAAGTCTGCGCGTGTAGTTCACCCATCGTGGGGTCGACAATCTTTGTGAAGAGGCGGTGGCCGAGAGTGGCTTCCTTGCTTGACAGCTCCGATGATGAGTAGCTCGGCTGCGACAAGGCTTGTGGTGGCAGGTTCTCGTTGGTCGTTATGGTGGTTGCGGTGGAGACAGAGTCGGGGGACGGAGGCTCGGATGATCCCATCTGGCTGCTGTTTGAGCCGTCGGAGGGAACGCGGCGGAAGAGACGCATGGTGGAGCCGCTGTTGCCGAAAGACATGTCCGGCTGGAGTGGCCGTTTTGGCTGAATGGCAGGAACCCCGCTGGAGACGAGAGACGTGCGCCGCGGTGAGCCAGTAGACACATTGGACGGTATGCGCCGGGCCGTACCAGTGTGACGAACGGTGCCCGTAGCAGTAGGCGAGCTGGGCTGCAGAGGCCCGTCCTTGACGTCCAGCTTGCGCATGAGCTCTTCTGTAGCGTAAAGTGCCGACGTCCTCCGCGACCGGATCGTGCGGCGTGCGGGAGCGACAGACTTGACCGTATCGAATACCCAGTCGTCGGAATCGTCTTTTGGCGCCAGGGAGTTGAGCGTCTCCTGGTAGTACACAGGGTGGGAGACGCGGTGCTGCTGGTCGGCATCAAACATTCGCCGCCGCTCCACAAGCTCCTGCATGGACTCAACCTTGCCAGCCGAGCGGATAAAGCGGTGCTTCAACAGCTCCTTTGCCGTAGGCCGCCGATCGGGGTCCTTCATGAGGCACTGCGCGACAAAGTCCTTGAAGTCCTTGCTGAAGTTGCCCTCGAGGCGTGGCGGCGGGTTCTTGGGAATCTGGAGCAGCACCTTCATGGGATGCACTTTGCCGTGTGGTGGCTCACCCAGGACAAGCTCGATCGCCGTGATGCCGAGTGACCAGATATCAGCGCGGAAGTCGTAACCAGCCTGCTGGATGACTTCGGGGGCCATCCAGAAGGGCGTGCCCACAAACGTGTTGCGGATGGACTTGAGGTCCGTCAGTTGCGCGGCGACACCAAAGTCAGCCAGCTTGACCTTGCCCGTCTCGGAGAGAAGGATGTTTGCCGCCTTGATGTCGCGGTGGATCTTGCCCTCACTGTGTAGGTACTCGAGGCCGCGCAGCAACTCTCGGCAGACGATTGCAACTTGGCTCTCGGCAAAGTTTCCCGGCTTCAGCAAGTCGAGGCAGGAGCCGCCACCGAGGTATTCCATCACAATCCATAGCTTGTGGCCGTGGAGAAAGCTTGCGCGGTATTGGGTGACGTATGGGCTGGCGCAGGTGCTGAGGACGGAGATTTCCTGCTGGATCTCTTGGATATCGTCGTCGCTGGATTCGAGATCGATCTGTAACGGGAAGAAGATTCGTCAGCAATGTTCATGGGAGACGCATCCGCATACGCTCGAACTGTTTGTGTTCTACCTACCAGTTTCAGAGCAACGGTCTCGCCTGTTGCCCGATCAAGTGCTTTGTAAACGACACCAAAACTTCCACCTGCAAAAAAAAGACTGTCAGAACAATGAAGTGGAATATCGAAGGTCCATTGACCGTCATCTCATGAAGTAGGAAGGACATACGGCCCAGCTCCTCCAGTGGCTGGTAGTGGTTCGCGATGCTCTCGGCCATTGTGCTCGCACCTGGTCACTTTGGACCCTTTTTCCGCACCGGCGGGGAGAGGTAGGAGAGTATTAAGTTGTCGAATGCGATCCAGGTGCTCTTCGTGCTCGTTGTGTCGAATTGTGGAATAGACGAGCCAAAAGCGAAGATTTGTGAGAATTGGAGAAAGTCAACAAAGCCCAGCGTTGTGATTGGAGCAAGGAGAAGGATGGCATTCGAAACAGGAGGAAATGGAGGGATAGGAGAAATGTAGAGACGTGTCGAGAAAAGGAAAAAGAGAAGAAAGTCACGAATTGACAGCCTTGTTTTATTTTCTGGGCTCTTTCTCTTTTTCGTTTCCCAATCGACGTCGTTCTTTCCCTCCCAGTTTGATTGCTTGCAGTAAAAGCGCAGTGCGATAAGAGCTCCGTCGCAGCTTCCGTGAAGGCGCCCCTGCGCCAGCTTATTGTTTAGAGCTTGGGCCAAGCTGTCCGGGCAACGCAGCGGCCTCAGGGGCTTGTTTGGGCGGATTGGGCACTATAGCGATATAGCCCAACGGGGTGGAGCGGGCTCCCTTACTTAATTCGTATGATGGGGAGGGGCTCCTTGTTTCGTTATGGGGGCAACGGCGGAATTTTGGAGGGCCCAGCCATAAATTGAAATTGGCAGGTGCAAATCCATTCAATAACAGCGGGCGCAATAAGGGACAGGGAAGGAGCAAAGACGGCTTGTGCGTGTCTCTCTTGGCTAAAAGCAGTTGTCAGATGCGGAAAGAGCGAGTCGGCGTTTTCTCATGATGGGGAGGACGTGTTCTGCGATGCGCGACGTTGTGCACATTTGAGGAGGAAGGAAGTGAGTGCTGGCGAAGTGAAAGAAAGAACGATGGCGGTGCTTGTCATGACGTGTGCTCTTTCCAAATTGTTTCTCTTTTTGTCTTTTTCGACATAACCGTCAAACTGGGGAAGGAGGTCGGTTCAAGTACTTCCTCGGCGGCGGGTCGCTCTCCCGTTCTCGCCTACAGAATTGGGTGGGATTTGCAGCGTTGCCAGGCGGCGATTTAGTGGGCAACGGCAGCTGTGGGCGCATTCCAGTGCGCTGGGCTGATGCAAATCCCACTGTATTCAGGCTAGCTGTCAGGGCACTTCTGGGCCGTAATAAGACTCAATACGCCTTTGCATGCCACACATGGTCTTCGCAATACGGCGCATTGTTGATTTTACGATCGTCGATACGAATACACAGACGGAAACCCGGCACCGGTCTTATGATGTTTTCATTAAATTTCGAGGACAAATGTAACCGTAAACTGGTGTATTATGCCACAGAATGTTTCGTGTACTATGAGTAAAGGAAAGCGCAGGTTATGTTGCAAGGAAAGAACGAATGGTGGCTGACAGCATGCTCCAATTGGGAGACATCTCGTACGATCTGATTCAGAGATCATGATAGAAGCGACTGGCAGTCCAGTAGGGTGCACGAGGGCGCACACCGCCCGGGGGGGATCGCGATGGGATTGGCTGGCGCGGGCTGCAGTTACTCAAATAGGCAATGCATTGTTGACACTCGGAAACGAGCGACATGCGGGTATGAAGTGCGATTCTAGGCTCTCGCGAACTGCCCTTTTTTCTGTTTTTTGCGAGACAGCCATTGCTACTGGCAGGATAGCCCAATGCTGATCACGCGCCGTCGATCTCGATCCGAATGGAGAAACGCTGAGCGGTCTGAAGCAGATGGGGCATTCAGAAGACATCGCCGACGGAGAGACCTTTTGGCTGAGGCGTGGCAGCAGTAAACGCACCTGAGACGTGTGAGGTGCATTGGCAGCTGAGCGGCCTTTGAATAGTCGTATCGATTTCCTGGTCGTGGAAAGGATATTTCTATGACGAGTAAGAAAAAATGTGAAAATATAATAAACATTATATTGTGTGAAAACCTGTTTAATTTTTTTCTAAGTTATTTATTTTTTTCATTATTCCTCTTTGGTAATAAATAGAACAAGGAATAGTGCATACTCCTCAGACGTACACCGAGAATGAACTTTTCGTAAGAAAAACAGAAAGAGAACACAAAAGAACGTACGCCTGGAATGGGATGTGACCCAACTACGGAATAAAGGGACTTGCTTTTTCGAGCACTGACACATCGACGCCATATGCAAGGCGGCAGCGCCACACACTCGTTCCAGCCATTTCGTGGGGAAGCTCTAACCCAATGCAGAGTTCTACTCCGTAGAAGTCACCAAGGCGCTTAAGAGGTAATATGTAAACAATAGGCACACCATACGCTAGGTTGCATATTTATACAAAAGTCCTTGCAACATGGTTGCCATCGCCGTCTTATCCATCGTGGCCTTTTTGATCGGCAGTGCTTTGCACATTGTCGGAATTCTACAGCTTGTGTTACTGGGCTACCATGGCGTAGCTCCGTTGCCATCTCGTACACACTGCCACAATGTTTGAGTTGGGTCACACGCAAGACGCATACGCCGTATAGAGAAACCATTCAATGCATTCTAGCTACTACTGCCTGCACTCTTTCACCCAGCCTTTACAGCAGGCCCAGGGCCTCGCGGCGCGACTTGGAGGCCGGGTCAAAGTACGGCTTCTCGCCAAGCGACACGACGCGGTTGCCCTGGCGCTTGCCCGAGTAGTCGAACGTGGCGGTGTGGAAGACGGAGCGGTTGTCCCAGATGGCCAGGTCGTTCTTGTTCCACTTGAAGCGCACCTGCAGGTCGTGGTTGTCGGTGATGAGTTGGAGGACTGCTGTGTTAGTGTTGCGCTCGGTAAATACGCTCGGGGGGGGAGGGGTAGGAGACAGGAACAGACGTACAGTAAGTCTTGAGAATTTCGCTCTCGCGGGCCGAGACGCCGTTGATCCAGCCAGCCTCGACCTGGTGAGCGGCGCCAAACAGGCTCTTCCAGCCGGTGACCGGGTTGGTGCGCACCACCGGGTGCTCGGCCTTGAAGTCGAGGCCGTTGTTGTCGGGCGCGCCACGGTCCGTGTCGATCAGCTCAAGGTCGAACGCCTCCTTGACCTTGACAAAGTTGGGCTGGTAGTGCGTCGCCGTCAGGCCGTCGACCAGCTTCTGGATCGGCGGCGACAGGCGGTCGTACAGCTCGTAGCCCGACGCCCACAAAGTGTCGCCACCGACGTCCTCGGGCGGCTGCGTAATCTTGAGGATGGCGTAGTCCGAGGGGACGCGCTCAAACGTGATGTCGGCGTGCCAGCCGACGCCCGCAAGCTGCTTGGACGACGACGTGAAGCGGTCCTTGTAGTACTTGCGGTTCTGCTCCGACGAGATGACCGATACCTCGTCGTCGAGCTTGCCGTTCTCGTCGACGGCAATGCCGCGCTTGCTGTTGGACAGCGCGTGGCGATGCAGCTTGGACGTCTCGGGCTTGCCCGTGAGCTCGCCCAGCTTCTGGCCCAGGATCTTTTGGTCGTCAATGTTCAGGTCCTGGTTGCGGAAAAAGACGACGCCGCGCTGCGAGACCAGGATGGCCAGGTCGCGCAGTTTCTGGTCGTCACCAAGGATCTCGCTGAGCTGCAGGGTGGGGAACTCGTGGCCGATGACGTTGGTCACGTCAAACTGTTCGTAGCTGTCCAGGGAGCCCGACGAGACCAGAGACTCGGCGAGCTTGGAGCCGCTCACGGCCTTGGTTGGAATGACATAGGGCGAAGGTGCAATGTCGAGATCGACATCAGCAGCAGGAGGAGCCATTGTGTGAAGATGAAAGCGAAAATATTTTTTTTTAAAAAAAAGGGCGTATAATAGAAGAGTAGAGTGTCTTGACTGTTGCTTCGTTGTTCCTGGAAAGTGAAAAGCAGCCATCGTCTAGACACGTCGACATGGACATCTTTATACCCCGAGGCTAGCACCCTCCACAGCCATGCATGCTGCCATCATTCGTGCAAACCGGCGCCGTCGTCGGCAGCACATCACCAGGCCAAGCAGCACACCACTCGGTGGCTGTCATCTTGCACCCGGAGCTGTCCCGGAGCCATAAGCGAGCGATAGGAACAAACATGTGGAAATGCCCGAGCATTTGAGAGACAGCATCCCCGCATCCCGCCGCGTGAGGTGCGAGGTCTTATTTGTCGCGTCATAGAGCACAACCTGGTGTCGATAACGACTCCGCGATATAAACGACGACAGGTGTGGCAGACTAAGGCTGTCGTCGGAAGACGGGCATCAAACAGCGTTGGCGGACGTTATGGAGTCGTCTGGAGCTGCTGCCCAGATCACATCCAGCGGACAGTCCTGCCCGATCATGCAGCTCTTGACGAGTGTCGAGACCAAGACGGAAGAAAACGATCAGGGATTGGTCCACGTGAAGACCACGCTTCGTTGAGTCTACTTTGTGGTTTGTTTTTATACCCGGCGGCATATATTAGCTTGTAACAGCCTCGCATTCCCAAGCGCAAGAGCGTCGGTCATGTTCGGCCGTGTCGCATCATTGGATGTGCAATGGGCAATTCATTTAGTGCGATGTTGTGAGCGCATTTGGCAGAACTGAATTGGTGGTGCTGGATTCAGTGTCGCTCACAGCTGTACGTGGGTAGCGCCATGATAACGCCATCTTGCGCCAGTGAATTGTCTGACTCCGTGAGGTGCCTGGCGATAGCGACATCTGCCTCGACGAAGCCATTCCTAACGACCAGAGGCGCCGATTCATGGCTTCCGGGAGGGAAAGCCGATTGTTTCCCTGAGATATCTGTCTCGTAAACAGATGTATTTTGCATCTCCGATTCATGAATCCTTCGGCTCCATTCATCACCTCTCGCCTTGGCCAGCTCACTGGGAAGATGCATGCCAAGGAACACCGTTGACAATCTGATTCATCGCTTGATAAGGCGCGATTCAGGCTGTATCATTCCTCGAAATGGGAGCATGATGATGTACGTCGCGATGATGCACTCAATGATGCATAATGACACTGGTCAGAAGGGCAGGTTCCGACGGCTCGCCGGGTCGCTTGACAGCCCGGGCTGTCCGGTTCATAATCTGGCCATAAGATTATCAGCTTTTCGGCCAGACGAGTGGTGCGCAGATGGGCTGGTGAAGACTATATCGACGACAAGTTCTTGTTGTTTTGAGGGACAGGATGGCGTGCTGGATTGTATTAGTAGCGGCGGCATTGGGTTAGCAGAGCAGCGTCCGTCAAAGCAAACAAAAAGTTGAGCTCTTCAAGCACAACTCTGGCGATTATGGGCGAGTGTAACAAGAGGTGGAAAAGACGAAAGACAATTAGCCCTTTTCTCAATATCGTAAGATGTCTCGATGTATGGCCCACGGCAATAAAGTAACGAGAGACGCGTCGCAGCCTCGTGCGTGGTAGAACGGAGGCGCATGCAATCTCCGGAACGCCTGTGCTGGCGCTGACTCGGCTCGTGTCTTGTGTCTCGTGTATATGGCAGTCGTCTCGTGGCGCATCGCATTGAGAGTTTTACTATTGAGACGAAAAAATTGGTCGTTGCGAAGAATGCAGCGTGACTGTGGCCAGAAATAGAAAGAAGGCATCGATGCACCGTGCCACTATCGTCTCCAAGTAAACTGGATCGCTTACCTACAGATTGAAGCCCGGGGTCGCTGTTTCCGCATTAGTGCGCCCAAGCACGCGGGCCGCCCTATGGCCTGGCCAAGGTGGGGTCGCGCGACAATCCCAGCGCCCAGGGGCAGCTGCCGCGTTGCTGGGCAACACGATCAAAATACCCACCTGTGCTTTCCTCGCCAACGCAGTCTTTCCCTGCTGTAAGCGTTTCGAGCAACGCACCTGCCGACCAGGCCACACACTAACGCCAGCCCACCAAACAGGGAAAGCGCACACAACGACGGCACAACGTCCCTTCCTTCATGCCAGGCAGTCTCTCATCGCTCCTGCCTCTCCGAACCGTCGCTCGTGCTATATCGTGGCCCTGCTATGATCTTTTCCGTGTCTTGTTATTTTTGCATTTCTCGACTCTGGATTACTTCCACGCTGCAATTGTCTTCTTTCGCCAAATCCTCCGTCACGAATCGGTTAACGCAAGCTTTCTCGCCGTTTCAAAATCTGGTTTTCCGGTGGACAACAGTGGACTCTCTGTCCGTACCTCGCTCTCTCCTCCAACTCTCCCACGTCTTGTTTACGACTGGACTGAACATCACGAAACGATCCTTTCGTCTCGAAAAGCGACACATCCTCGACCTCGAACTGCTTTCTCTGCCTCCATCACCCACACATCTACGTCTGCGATCTACCCCGAAACTGTCGACGACACCAGACCCTTCGCTTTTTCGTCTGCCACCGCCATCATGACGGTGCCAGCACCCCCGCCGCTTCCCACGCGGTTTCCGTGCTGGTGCAGAGCAGTCTACTCTTGGGGAGGCGAGGTATGCTCGCTCACCAAGCTCCCATTGCATTGTTGTTCCTGTTTGCTGTTCGTCTTGCTAACTTGCCAGTCAAAACGCGACCTCGGATTCATGGAGGGCGACCTGATCGAGTGCCTCAACGCCGGTGATGGCAGCTGGTGGACCGGCCGGCTGTTCCGTGACCGCCGCATGGTCGGTGCTTTTCCTTCCAACTTTGTCGAGCTGCTGCCCCCCGATTTTCGTCCCGTCACGCGCTCCACGAGCCCGCTGCCGCCCGCCGGCAACACCCCGAGCCCTAAAAACACCCCTCAAAAGGCAAAGACGTTCCGGAAACCCTTTGAAGCATACGCCAAGGCACCACACTATACAACAGCCAAACAGCCCGAGATCTACAAGCCCGGATCCTCACGTTCTAGGGAAACGTCGGCGACCTCGACTGGAAGTACGGGCAGCAACAGCGGCAATGGCGTGCGCAAAGGCACCGGTCATGTAAACGGTTCCCGACAAGGCAGTGCCGACGGCAGCGTGCGCAACAGTAGCATTGCACGCGTGCCGAGCCCATCACCCTACCATCAGGCCCTGGGATACGGCGGCGGCTCTAGGTCACCATCGCCCAACACGCGCATGAATAGTTACCATAATCCCGAGCTTCATCACCAGCCGCTTTTCCACCAGCAACAGCAGCAACCACCACTTCCTTCACCATCACCTGCACAACACTATCACCATCAACATATGCCCTCGCGGCAGCCGTCACCAGCGCCACCTATGCCGCTGCAGCAGTTTCGCCAACCGACACCGCCGGATGAGAAGGTCTATCAGCCATACCGGCCCTCGAGTTCGACTGAGCAGTTGGACTCGCCTCCACCACCGCCACCTCCCCATCGCCATGCTATCAGCAGACAAGACTCGACCGGCTCATATGAAAACCGTGGAACAGGAATGATGGGCAGCATGCACGGGCTTGAACGTCATGGCTCCAATATGTCTTACAACAGCCACCACTCTGTTGCAGGATACCACACACCACGCGTGCCGTCACCTGTCCCCTCTCCAGGTCCCGTTGAGTCGGGACTGACACCGTCACCGCTACGGGAAGCCATGGACGGCGTGATTGAGCAGCTCGATGCTCTTGGGATGTCACGGGACAATGCAGGAACACCCGAGCCAGTGCCCGTAGCATTTGATGCATGGTCACCGGAGTCGTTTGATACTGTCAACCAGCGCTCCAGACGAGCTCAGCGCAAAGACCAGATGCGGCCACAAACGTCCATGGGCATACCGCAACCTGTCGACGAAGGCTACGAGACTTACAGCGGCAGTGGCAGTGGAAACTCGTCCCAGGACAACGGCTATGGCTCTAGCCAGCACGAAGACAAGCAGCAGCTGCCACAGCTCAGTAATTATGTCGAGCGAATGGAATCACGGCTTCGAAGCATGCACCAGCAACACCAACAGCCCGAGTTCGACGAGTCGTTTGCCGACAATGGAGCGCCCATGCCGCCTCCCAAGGCTCCCGGTCTCTTTGAGCGACCCAAGTCGTCTATGGGTGGTGGAGGCAATCGTGGTTTTGGTGGGGAAGATGATGTGGACTCGTTCAAGCAGCAGCAGTTGCGCCATCGGCGATCGGCTTATGATGTTGGCCGCCAGGTTCTCAACCGCACGTTCACGACGAAGACGAACTCCACCAATGCATCTGCTGGCAACCGCAGCACGACCACCAACAGCAGCACCAACACCCAGAGCACAAACCGCAGTCTCATGAGCGGTGCATCGGCCAGTGCCTTTAGTGCTACGAGCGCAGGCAGTCTCGCCCGCAAAAACCAGAGCCGTGCCCAGAGCGCGTTGGGAATGAGAGAGTGGGACGGAGACCGACCTGACTCCCCGTTTACCGGCGTCACCTACCACAGCAGCCATGCTTCCGACTACCAGCAGAACAGTGCAGCAAACCGGCTCCGGTCTAAGTCTCAGATCGGTTTCCACAGCGGTGTCGATGATCTCGGCGGTCTCTCGGGCATTGGCGGACTTACACAGCCCAAGTCGACAGTTAAGAAAAGCAACATCTTCAAAAAGATGATCGAGTCCGCAAAGACCGGCGTGGCTAGCAGCCGTGGCTCCATCGCCATGACTGGCTTTGGAAACACGGGCATCAGTGGTGTCGGAAGCCACAATTATTCTCAGTCATCGCCGATGAACAGCCTCGCATCGCCCTTTTCTGTAGGCTACGGCCGCGATGCCGCTAGGGAGATGGGCCTGGGAGCCGCTGGCGGCGGAAACGGCGTGGATTGGGTGCAGGTCCGGCGAGATGTGAACCGTTCCAACTCGCTGAGCCGGATTGAGCGAAACGAGCGGCGTGACCGATGCCAGATGCTCGACTACCCCACGCTCGATCCCGTTGATGAGCTCTATAACACGATCGAAGGTGACGAAGGGGCCGACGGTATGCCCGTGGCGGAGCCCACCAACTACGGCGCTCTGAACCTGAGCCAAGTCGACAAGAACTCGCGCTTCATCAGCAGCCTCCCGCCCATGACGACAGCCATTACGCTGGCCACAACGTATGTGTGTCGTCCGTACCGGAGTGATGTGCAGCGTCTGCGCGCCATCTTCACGTGGGTGTCCGAGAAGATTGTATGGGAGGACGACTACGAGATGGGCGATGTTGGTGACGGGGGCATGGACACGCGGAAGGTCATCCAGTCCAAGCGAGGCTGTGCTGAGGAGTACGCCGTGCTCGTGGCTGAGATGTGCGCGGCGACCGGCTTACCGTGCGAGGTGGTCCGTGGCTACTTGAAAGCACCAGGCGATATCCCCGAGCTGGGCATCATGCCACGTGCAAACCACTGGTGGAATGCTGTCCTTGTCGACAACGAGTGGCGCATCATGGACACCTGCTTGGCCAGCCCGTCGTTCCCCCGCCGCTCTCAATACTTGAGTGGCGGCGGCAGCAGTACCACGGCCGATCCATGGTGGTTCCTCGTGCAGCCCAGCGAGGCTTGCTACACGCACATTCCGGAGCATCACACGCAACAGCACCTGTGCCCGCCTGTCGCGCACGAGATCCTTCAGAATCTGCCGTGCGCTGGCCCACCCTACTTCCGCAACGGACTCCAGCTGATGGACTTCAACACATCTCTGCTGCGCATTGAGGACCTCGAGATGGTGCACATTCGGTTCAGCGTACCCGAAGAAGTCGAAGTGGCTGCCGAGATTGAGGTGCGTGCCCTGTCGAGAGACGCGGACGGCGACTACTTTGAGAGCGGCGATGTTCTCAAGAAGCGGGCCCTGGCCCAGGCCGACTGGATTGCTGGTGGCATCAAGCGGTACACGGTGAAGGCCCTGCTTCCTGGCGACGAAGGCACGGGCATTCTCAAGGTGTACGCGGGCCGCCGGGGTCTGATGCATAGTATCAAGGACATCCCGCACCCGCTAGCCTTCTCGCTGCCGGTCATCCATACGGGGGATAACCCGAGCTACGAGTTTGTGACACGTCATCCGACGCCGCACGCGCAACGGCACGACATTTACGTGGTGCAGCCACAGTGCCAACGCCTGGCACTCAACAACACGTTTGTGTTTGCCATTCGGCAGCACCCGAGCTCGGTCGGTGGCGCTACACCCATCATCCCGCAGAACAGAGCCTCGTCGCCCTCGCCCTTTGCGCGCCCGTCATCGGCAATGAGCATGCTCTCGAGCATGACCGGCAGCAACCAGCTGAACAACACGATTCCGGCGGGGAGCGTCAGTGGCAGCAGCAGCAGCAGTGGCAGCGGGAGCACGAAGAAGCCGGCGAAGCTCGCCATCCAGACGCCCGGCGGCAAGATCCTGCGTCTGATGCGCAAGGAGGATCGCAGCAAGAGCAATGGCATCGGCGTTGGAGGCCGTTCGGCGGCCATGGGCAGTGGGCTTGGCGAGGACGACCCGGCCGACGGCGGCACTTGGGAGACGATCATCAAGTGCAGTGAGCGTGGCGTGTGGCGCGGCCTGGTGCTGGCCGACCGCACAGCTCGGTGGTGCGTGTTTGCGGAGTGGGTGTGTCATTGAAGACGCTGTGCGAAGTCGCACACGCACTTCAACAGATTATTGATTTCAGGGACCGCGGAGTTTGTCTTTGGGGCCGTTTTGTACTTTGGCTCCCGTTTTGAGTCGTTTGCCATTTACAGGTGAATTCTTTTTTTAAAAATTACGGGAAGAGGATCTGGCTGCATCTTGGGGCGTTTTTGATTTATTATTGGCAACCTAGGGAGGCAGATGAAGCTGTATGATAATAAGGAGAATTAATTGTCTTGATCGAAAGTGGAATTGCCTTGCAACACGAGACTGTGTTGAAATCAGAAGTCGTGGAAGCTATATGAAGAAGTACGACAGGCGTCGTAGTATCAATTTTGTGTGGTCATTTGGTGACAGCAGACTGATCCAGTCCACGCTTCCGCTGCGCACAGACCTGACACCAGAGCATTTCTGTGGCTTGCGGCAGAACCCGCACACAGTAAGACGCATTTACTCCACGGCGTTGTCGTCGGTTGACACTTGCTTCCCTGCTACGTTGCAGCTGGGACGTTTCGGTGCTGACAGCAGTCAATCCATCCATCTGAACTGTCGCGTCCTCATTGTCCAGCTCAGCCCGGCACGGATGTGTCTTGGACCATCAAAAAGAGAGAGACAGTCCATTCTGCAACTGACAATAGAGACTGTGTGGGTCAGGTTTAATTGCAGCTGCCGCGAAATAGAAAGACATGCAGGCGACAGCCCCCGGGCCTTTGGCCGCTTGTCGAGTTCTGGACTCCGTCCGCCGCCGATGAATACTGGTTTGGGCAAAACCGGTACGCGTTGAGGATGTCGCTAGTGGTGTCATTTGGTGAAGAATGGAGACATGTTCAGCGCGTGAGACCCGTCACTGATGTAAGATAATACTACTTTTCTCACCCTCAGTCTCTACCTACGAAGCACTGTTTTCCTGCTTCTTGGACCACCGATTTTCGTCCTGTACGTACATCGTATGGCTCTTCGTCCGGCCTGCCCTGCTACCTGGTGTAGTGTTCCGCTGTCACGTTGTCTTGCACACCGTGCGTAGCGCTCATTCCAGACGAGAAGGACGGAAAGACTGTGAGGAAAATTAGTGGATCGCCCCCTGGACGGGGGAGCTCAGGGAGGAAGGAAACCAGAAGGCCGTCAAGGCCGTCAAGGCCGTCAAGGCCGTCAAGGCCGTCAAAGACAGAAGACGTGTCAAACCGGGTCAAGCTTTTGCTTTTGAGACCTGTTCGTTTGAACAAACCAATCGAGGGCTACGAATATGCGATCTAGCCCACAGGCCCACCGCCAACAAAAAGTACCGTGGTCTCCATTCCGCCGCACAACATAGAGAGTGCTGCCATTCGTTGGGAGCTTTTGCCACGGAATTAAGGACGCGGCGGAGGAGGGGACAAAGAACTAAAAGAGAGAAAAGGAGATTCGCACCACATCCACTGCAGAAAAGTGTCGATAGTGTCCAGGGGTAGTTGACGACGGTGTGCTTATTAGTGCGGCGCGGTGAGGTGTTGTGGGGACGGATCACAGGTCGAGACCGAGCGAGCAGAGATGCGTGCGGAGGATGCCGGTTCGCGGAAACGATTGGGTTGGTAAATTGGCGAGCAATTGAGGCAATTCGTATGCCATATTCAGGAGAGGTTGATCGTTGACGATGGGATTTGGAGAATGATAAGTGGAAAAGGGAAAAGAGCTCGAAATGGCAGGAGCCTGTGGGGGACGGTCGGGGTGTTCGCCGTTGTGCCTCTCTTTCCTTTCCTGGATGGATGCCTTGCCTTGCGTTCTTTCCTTTTCTGGCTCTTCTGGTCAAGTTTCTTATCTGTTCCTTGCGCCTTTAATCAATTTGTCCCCAAGCCACAATTCAGGCACGGAAAGTGCTTTGCGTGCAAACGCAGGGAAAGAACGAGGCGCGATCTCGATACCACATTATGACACTATGACATGCGACATATTCGGGCGTATAAAAGGACGCTCACCGTCTCGAGCACCCGACGAACAATTACGTATGTTATTCGCCTCGCACGGACTGCTCGACCAAAAGTGATGACGTTTGTCCCGTGTCCAACGTTCTCCTTGGTGCCCTGTTCTTTTGCCGTGATGCAATGCTCATGTTAATTACACGGGGATGTTCCAGGAGCCTGTTATAACATATATTGGGAAAGAGAAATCCTTCCGTGCAACATGGGCCGCAGCTTCCCAGACAACCATACCGTGCCCAGACGGAAGGAGGGACGGTGCTCTGCTTATGACACTATGCGAGTATGTCGTATTTCGTACATCACCAAATAACAAGAAACTACATCGTAACTGCGTGCTATGTAGTGAGGCATACGCCGTATATGTCGTATGCCACCAAATCAAGGCCCGTCCAACCCAAGCGCGCTGCAATCTTGTCTGTTCCAGATCCTGCCAGTTGAGCCAGCCCTGCCTATCTCCATTATTCCATATCTCTCCATCTCCATATTTCCATATCGGCGTATCTCCATATCCCTCGTCAACGCTCAGAGCCCTACGCCGCACATTTTCGGTCCCGTCTGTCCCTTGCATGAATCGTCCTCGTCCGCTAGCTCGCTTCGTGGACGTCTTGTTTATCAAGGCCGCCTTCAGCCAAGACGCGCACAAGCGCTTTGTTGACTTTGCGCGGCCTGCTTATTCGCGGTTGTTTGCCGCCCATCCGCCGATGGGCGGCCGCTTGCAGCTACTGAGCAACCGCTGGAAACTAGGCCCAGGAACGTGACTGAGGCACGTTGTTCTGCACAGTATCTGACGCCAGTGACCACAAAACTGCGGCTGTGCAAATAGACAGTAGCGTGAGTAGTTGCACAATAAGCTTCTATGCACACATTCCGACCTCTGCCAAGAGTTCCTCATCCACTAAAATCGCCGCTACTCCGCCAAAAACAGGAACAAAGCTGAACAAGCGGCCCAGAACCTGCCAACCAAAGAACCAGGAGGAAGCTGCGGCCCTCCACCACGCTCCACGCCCTCCACGCCCCCCCGTCACCACCAGTCGCGCTTTCCTTGTCGCCCCACGAAAGGGGGCTTTTATTAGAATTACGGCCCCTCTCCTGCCATATCAGGCCCTGTGGCCGTGGTCCTGCTGTACCTGGTGTTTGTACCTGGTGTTTGTACCTGGTTTCTCTTTCCCTAATCGAATTTTTAATTCGCGACTCCTATTTTCCACCCCTTCCCCCCTTTGTCCACTTTCGGTCCTTGTTCTTTCTTGTTCTGGCATCTCTCGTTACTTCTTTCTTTTGCGGTGCGACATACCTTTCTAGGTCTTTCTTGTCCACGTTCATTTTTTCGCTTCTACGATTGTCTTTCAATTTTCTTTTCTTTTTTTTGTTTTTGCTTTTCAGTTTCTTTTCACCTTGGCGTTGGTACAACCCCCCGACGACCGTCTTCCGTTCGCCCACATTACCTGTGCGCGCGTCTCTCGTCACTCGCTCGCCCGGCACAGTCCTTTCACCGCGACGCATCTTCAACGGCCAGAATCCTCTTCGAAGGTGCTTCGCTTCGCAGACTGCGACTCGTGACGACACGCTCGTTCTCCAGGAGCATTTCCTATTGGCATCCCTCTTGTTTTCAATCTATCCATCAGTTCTCTAGGAGTTAGACGGCTTGCCTTCCCGTCCCCGAACCACCCGCAGCAAAGGGAGCAACGAACGAGCGGCAAACGACATCATCCGCCTCCCCCCCTGTGCCGCCCGTCTTTCACCCCGTCTCGTATCAGCCTCCTCCTGCTCTCGTTATCTCACGGCTGGACGATTGTCGCTTTGTCATTGTATTCTTATCGAAACGAGCTGTACAGCCGCTGCCGTTCTCCGACGAGAATCTGTAGACGATTGACCGCGTTTGCATTCGAGCTCAGTCTTGCCCCAGGCACGGCCTCCTCCTTCTCTCCATTTTCCCATCTGTCCGTTGGCTGTCACAGCCAGCAGCACTCCCTTGCCCGCCATGTTTACGTGAGTACAGCCTCCGCCAGTTGCTGGTAGTTGGAGCCCCGTTTGGCGCCAGAATGAGATACCCACCGAGGGAAAAGTTGGACGGAGTACAGATACTGACAGACGGCCTCTGCCCTCTACTCCAGATCCGCATTCAAGTCTTTCTGGCATACCATGACCAGCAATGACAGACGTATGTCGTTTCCTACATACTTTGCTCAATTTCTATGTCCATCTCCGAAATAGGGGTGTTTGACTAACTTGGACCTGCTTTTTCTGCTATTAGACTCTACCTTTAACTCGCCCTACCGCACCGGCCAGCATGTGCCTCTCAACCCAGAAAACGGCCAGATGAGCGGCCTGGCGACGGTGGCCACGGCCTCTGAATCGCGCCACGACGTTTCGTCGCCATACTCTGACTACTCCCAAAACCCCCTGGACCGCGTCATGAGCCCAACATCTCGCCCGGGCGCCGCGAGTCCCCGCATTCCCCAGAATAACGGCGCTCCCTACTCACCTGGTGCCCGGTCCGAAAGCGCCCGGCGCCAGAGCCAAATGGGTGAAGGCTTTGAGATGCAGAGTCCCACGGGCGAGATTCCCATGCAGTCGTTCCAGGACGGCCTGCCACCAGCCCCTCCAGTTGCCAGCTCGTGGCGCCGGATAGACAAGTGGGCCGAGGAGAACTACCCGGAGCTATTTGACCAGCTCTGCGAAGGCTGCACGAACAATGACCTGAACGAGTTGGAGCACGTTCTCGACTGCTCGCTTCCCAACGACGTCCGCGAGTCTCTTCAGCAGCACGACGGTCAGGAGCGCGGCGGCAACCCAACCGGTATCATCTTCGGATGCATGCTGCTCGACTGCGAAGAGATCGTCCAGGAGCGGGACCAATGGCGCAAGGTCAACACGGAATACCTTTCGGCCGCCGCCGCTGCTGCTGCTGCCGCCGCTGCTGCCCGGCCGTCCCCGTTAAAATCGTTGGACCAATTTGAAGATGGTACCCCCAGCGCCAGCGGTAGTGCCCGGAGCAGCGTTGATCACGGCGAGGCATCTTCATCAAGGTCGGCCCCCTCGGTTGCCAGCAACGGCACGAGTTCGACTTGGAGACAGGATCTCCTGTCCCGCCAGCAGAGCGTGCCGCCCGGCGCCATCCAGAAGGCCTACGCGCACCCGGCCTGGATCCCCTTGGCTCGCGACTGGGGCGGAAACAACCTGGCCATCGACCTTGCGCCTGGTCCTCGCGGCATCTGGGGCCAGGTCATTATGTTTGGCCGGGACTACGACACCAAGTATGTCGTCGCACGGTCGTGGGCCCATTTCATAGCCCTCGTTGCCGACGACCTGAGCAGCGGCAAGTGGTTTATCGACGAGGACACCAGCGAGCTGAAGCTGCGCGAGTTCAAGAGCGCGCGCGTGGAGCCCCCCTACATGGACATCCTGCGCTGGCGGATGGACCAGAAGCACAACCGCCGCGCCAACAAGCGGAGAACCGTCGTCCCGGGCGCCAACGGCTCGCCGACCGGTTCACCGTACGCCAGCCCCACAGACGCTCGCCCCTCCGACCGCGGCCGGCCGCTCCAGCGCCTCAACGTCAACTCTCCGCTGGCTAGTCCCAGCCGCCCTGGATACGCCAACAGCAAACTGAGCCCATTAGCGCGCGTTACAGAAGAGACGTCTCTGCCCGAGCTCAACATGGTCCTGCCTACCGGCGAGGAGTCAGAGACACTGGTCGAGGCCACTACACCACGAGCGACTCCTGCGCCAACTGCAGCAAAGCCGGACCTATCTGTGGCAACAAATGTTGCCGACGCAACTGCCACGGACTCCGTCGCGGAGGCCGAAAACGACGAGAACGCACCGGCGGCGAAGCCCAACAAGGGCAAGGGCAAGCAGGCTACGGTGGAGTCGGAGGCCGAGGATGCGATGAAGACGATTGAGATTTAGAGGTCTTGATTGACACCATCACATGCTCCGAGCATCGCGTCCGTGAGCTCGTGGCCTTGATCTCTATTTCTCTCTCTCTCTCTCTTTCTGAATCTCCCTCACTCTATACCCATCCATACACGGAGCAGAGCGACCGTACAGACGCGATACCACCAGCTTGACTTTGGATAGGAGTTTATTACGGCGTCAGGCTTGTATTTAATGCAAAAAGAAAAAGAAGGGTATTGGCGGCATTGTCTTTACACATCTTGTCATGTTTTTCATCTTTTGCATCGTCCTCATATCCTCTCATATTCTCTCAACTTTTTGCCTCTCTCTCTCTTCACGCGCCCTCTGTTCTTACGACTGCGGCTTTTTCAATCTTTCCGAATCTCATATCGACCGCCAACCACAGAAACACGACACGGCGTGGCCAGATGGGCGGCTCTTTCATGTATGCCATTGAATGAAACGCACGGCAACGACTTCGTTCCGAGCAATGACTATTTCGCACTTGTTTCGGCCTTTTTGTTTTCTCGTCTTTAGCACATCATGCCCTCATGCACGCATTGAAACAGTGAGATAACGAGCAAGCGGAGAAAGACGGCAAGGGAAGAAGGAAGCATGAAGAGGAAGCTGGGAGTGGATTTTAATTCGGCGATGCACGTTATGTTTTGCTCTTTTTTTCCCTTCTTTTTCATGGTAATCAACTGTCTATTTATTCACAGATGTCCAAACTTTGATAATGGTATTTCACTTTATTTTCAACTCCTCATGAATCTTTCTACCGTGCCTTGTGAGATAATGATGTCTAAGAAAATGCATTGCACGTGGCAATCTTGTCTCTACTCACTGCTTCAGCTCAGTAGTATATCCCAGTGAATTCAATCTGCGGTATACACAGAGGTCGTGGTGAGATAACATTAAGGTGCGTTGGTAACATGGTCACGTGGCATCCCCACCAGCCACTCATGCTGTGGCTGAGAGCAGCGCCAAAACAGTGGGCCCAGGCAGGCGCAAAACAAGGCCCTCGTGCGTGCAGCAGGCGCTTTTGGCTCCGTCATGCCTGTCAGCCTCCCCCCGATTTCCTAGGAAAGCATCACCATTGCCGCAACCACAACGATCATCGCAACCGCTCGACGACACAACCCCGCCGGTCTACAATAGCTTTGTTACGGCGAAGCATTAAAACCCCCCAGCTAGTGTACGGTCCACCGAGCTTCATTCCCTCACTAGAGTTTTCGAGACGCCCTGAGCGATAACCAAGTCGTCGTCCTCCTCAAGGATATTTTGTCGTCCTTTTGTCGGCCGTCTGCCTCATCGAACCCATCGGCGTCCCACGGTCGCAATCGGACCGTCTGCCGCTCCGCTCCATCATATACCCACTCTCTCCCTCGCTCCCACACAATGTCCTACGACGAGGATCGGCTCTGGAAGTTCCAGTGGCCGCAGTGGGCCAGCAGCGTCTGGGCCCGCAACGCCGGCGTCTATGCCTCGGGCGCGCTCTACTCGCTCGCCTTTTACGTCATGCTCGATGCGGCGGTGTGGTCCAAGAGCCCCAAGAACGGCTCGGACGTGCACGTCTCGTTTGTCGACTGGCTGCCGCTCATGTGCAGCAGCCTGGGCATGCTGATTATCAACTCGGTGGAAAAGGCGCGGCTGGCGTCGGACAACATTGGGTACTCGGGCATCGGCATGGGCGGCGGCGGCGGCGGCGTGGCGTGGCAGGCGCGCGTGGTGCTGTTCCTGGGGTTTGCCAGCCTGGCGGGCGGCATGGCGGGCGGCGTGTGCATCTTTGTGCTCAAGTACATTGTGCCCAAGGTGGCGATGCCGATGCTGGGCATGGGCATTGAGAACGTTGTGGCCAACGGCCTGGTTGGTCTGAGGTACGTGTTTTTGTTGTTTTGTTGTTGTCTTTCTTTGCCCCGTTTTCTTCTTGTCGTCCTGTGCTAACGTTAACCTGCAGCTCCGTCATTCTTTGGGTCAGCCAGAACATGGAGGACGAGTACGCCTACAACCTGGCTCTGTAATGGAGCAACGGTCCACTTGTCGACTGCGATCGTCCGCCTCTTCAGTCCTTCGTCTCGAGGCGATGTCGTCGAACCCAGTCCGTGCAGGACGGGACCACGAAATTGGGATATGCAACCGACACGTTGTTGCCTGAACAGCCATTGAGCAACGAAGAGAGGAGCGGCCTTTGTAGACCCATCTGCTCGCACGTTCTTTTATATTTCCTTGATCTATCACATCCGTGGAGTTTTGTTTGACTCCTTACGCTAGCTTCCGCTTCCGCTTCTGCTTCTGCTTCTGCTTCTTTTTCTTTTGTTTCGTCCTCTGTCATTGCGCTCGTTTTGTCTTGCTATTCCTCGTCTGTACCATTGCAAAGCCAGTTCCTTGCGTCGTGTTGATAAAGTCTGAAACCTGTGAACGTGTACTCTACTTTGTCCTTTTTGTCCGTTTTGTCCACTCTATTGCATTTTGTGTTATTGGGCAAGGCTGGAGTTATCTACCCATCCAAAATGGTCTTCTTTTGGAAGGCGACACAGGTTGTTAAACGGTTCTCAGTGTGACTATGTCGACTCAGGATCTTGTCTCCGCGACTCGACCTCAGCCTGGAGCCGAGTTCAGCATGTACTTTGTGAATATTGATGTCCGATATCAAGCCTTGCCAAATCTCGTCTGACACTGGCATTTGTTTCATTTTATTAATTACTACTAGGTTTTCGTGGGGCTAGGAAAAAAGTAATTGCCATATTGATAATTTCGTTTATTTGTAGCAGACGAAAAGAAAGCAAATGTCTTACATGCCGTCTACCTTTTTTTTTTTTTTTTTTTTTTTTTTTTTTTTGTTATACGTAAAATACTAAATAATATTTAAAAGGTGATTTTAGTTTTTTTGGGTGCATGTACGCAGAATGCTCTTGTTTACAAATATATATCATTTATTTGTTATTATTTTGTCGCGGCAAGTAACACATCACTACGAGTTTCCCCTTCAATGTATCAGACTGGATGTCCAATGCATTGGCCGGCACGAGACAAGACGGTTGGTGATCGATGCCAAAGCAAGCCAACAGCACAATTTGGAAAATAAATTGGTGCCTTCAGTGGGATCGGAGCACAAGCTGGCCCCGCGCGTTTGCACTTCTGCACCAAGACCTTCGTATTGGTTTCATATCAGCCACCAACAGACGGCCGTCGAGCTCGACACGACCCTGCCGCCTTGTTTTCTGCTTCCTTTTCTGCTCCCTTCTGCACGTCCCGCCCTTCTATACGAGGCGGTGAAGCGGGTGCTCCATACTCGCTGAGCAGTGTCTCAGACCAGGGGGGAGGTGTACGGAAGGAAAGGTGCATATCTGGGGAGGAGACGGCAGCACAACGATGGCAGAGAGGCAGAGCTCAATATATTGTCCCTCACCGACCTACTATCCAAATGTCTCACTTGCAACCTTGATGTCCCTTTGAGCACGAAGACTGCCAGAGGGAGCCGAGGGAGGGAGGTGTGGTCGTATTGACAGGAGTCAAGTGTCAACAACGGGTTGCCTGGTCGACTTCCTTCTTCCTCCATGGTCTCTGAAGCTTGTGCGACGTTTGCAAACCGAAAACGGCCAGACCTCACCGCCTCTTTCCGAGAAACGGTGCGCAGACCTCATAAAATTAATCAAATAACAGCAGAAACGGGACGCCCGAGTTGGTGCCCGAGCTGGTGACAGGTCACTTTTGAAGCTTCATGCTTGGTTGCCCTCTCCGTAGGCTCACCGGTACTATATGCCGCCATTGTCGTTTCTGAGACGAATCGTATCTGTCGTCATTCTCGTGTTTTATGTCCTTTCTCGTCCTTTGTTTCCTTCTCGTCCGTCTTCCGCTCAATGTCGGGCCCACGTCGGCCGTTCTTTTTCAAACAATTATTTTTAAGAAAAAAGAGTCGTTCTCTGAATGGCCGACCGAGTGAGAGTCTTTTCGGGTGTTGAGCTATCGCTGGTAGTCACTCTCATCATCCTGTCGTCGTAACACCAGGACGGGCATCGGCAGCCAGACCGCCGTATGATCTCATCACCTGCTCATGTTGCTTGTGCTGCACATACAGCACACACTGTTCCTATGCGTTAACAAAGAGACACTTCGCCTCTACCTGCCTCCTCTCTGTCGTTTGGCACTTGCTACAGCAGCCAAACTGCATAGGATCTTGCTGATGGTGGACTATGAAATGTCTAGTCACTCCTATCTTCGACTGGAATGTCTTTGTTTCTCCTCCTTCGCCCCGAGATGTGCAGCTCGTCTGTAACAACGATCCTGCAGCCGGGTAGAAAGAGAAGGGAAAACTAGGGGACTGGACAGAACGGATAAACACCGAAGACCGAAGGCTATCTGAAGCAAGATTTGAGGTGCCCTGCATAAAGCAGACGTGGCAGGATGAAAAGATAGGGAGAGAAAAAGGATGGTTTGGTAGTACAAGCAGCTCACAAGACAGGCACGCCAAGGAAAATCCAGGGCAACAGCAACAAAAGCGAACAAAGCAGAAGAAGAGAAAGAAGCGAAGCAAAATGGAAGCAAAAACACACCAGGGCTGTACCACGTCGGGTAACATGTATGTGTGGGGGCAGAGGGAAGGAGAAAATAAGGGGACACGATAAGACGCTGGAGTGGGCGGCACAAAAAGTTCATGATGCCCCTGTCCATTCTTTTCTCCACGTCTTTTGTGTAACTCGACACTCGGTTCGGATGCCGAATTCTCCCAGCTTGCGCCCTATTGTCTTCTATGAGTGCGCTGGCTTCCCTTTCCGGCTCCCAAGACTCACCGGTCTGTTTCACGGCTTCACTTGTTCAATATTTTCATTTTCGTCTCTCGCTTCCAAGGTCTGATCTCGCACGCCTTCTCTCCGATTCTAGGCGCACAACAGTCGACCCTGACCCCGGCACGCTCTTGGATATGTTGTCTCGGACGCCTACCAACAGACGGTGAAGGCGGGAAGCGGATGGAAACGGGAAGCAAATATGGCACGAGTATGAGAAAACGATGCAGAGTGGTTCTCACTTGATGACACAGGACACGATCCTTTTGACCATGAGAGAGCACGACAAGGCGAAGGCGTGACCATGTCGGCCATGCAGGCAACTTGCTCAACCCCCCTGGACACCGATAGTAGGACAGGACCGGTGCCGATATGGGACGTGCTGTGAATGTTTGTGAGATTCAGCTGAGGAATGATGAGCTCAACGAGTCGTGAAAGTACCTCTGACAAAAAGGTACATTGAGAAGAACAAAAAAAGTCAAGACTGTTCAGGCAGTCGTGACAATGCACACGCCCCCGGGAATCACAACGTCAACGGTCCCAAAGCAAAGGAAAGGCCGTCGAGAGCCGAACTGACAGAAAAGGAGCAAGTCTGCAACAGGTTCCAAACGCCGAGATGGACTGAATGGGCAACTCGAGTCGGCAAAGAGATACAATGGCATCACGTAGCCAGACTGGAGTAGAATGAAAGACAAAAGTTCTGATATGACAAATCCTTTGCAGACAAGGGCGTGTGCATTGACGAGTAGGGAGAGCAGGAGAAAGCATCCCTTGCACAAAACGAGAGAGGCCCGAAAAATCGACCGTCCATCCTCTCATCGTACCAAAGTGAGCATGGAGAGGGAAAGCCAGCCACGACAGTCTACGTGACTAAGCTGCTGCCTGCGAAGCATTTGCGTCGACGCACGAGAGTCAATGACGAACAAAGCACACTTGAATGGCAACGTTGGAGCCTGTGTGGTGTCCCGAACCACCCTGCAAAGGCTCTTTCTACCACGCCTCTCCGCCATTCTTTCCCCTTTTCGATTGGTGAGGCTGACCTCTATCGCATATCATATTTTGGTCTCACCTTGCTGCTCTGGTGACGCTGGTACCGAAAAGGTTGATCAGAAAGGAGGAGGGAGGGGGCGTGTAAAGCCTCGTAATGAAGGGTGTACCTGTAAAGCTGGTAAGAGCCCCAAGACAGACAACATGGGGGAGACGTACAGAGAGGCTCGACCTCGTCTTCGTCTGGCACCTGCAACTGAACTTGCTGTTCGTAGCCCTTTGGAATGCGATGCAGCCAAAGATGTGTCTTGAATGGGAAATGCTGTCGGCCCAGCGTGCCTGAGACTCCGCGTCGTAAATGCCAAGAGTCGCCTGCTCAGTATTTTCTTCCTGTTCATAGGCGTGTGCAACCATACGATGGTGCGGCAGGCAACATTAAGCGTGAATTTCCGAGGCAAATTGCGTGGGTGGGCTGTGGTGTCGGACTCATTCGAAGAGTGCACTGTCGTTACCTCGTAAGGTAGGATCAGTCACTTTCTAAAACTGTCAAAGAAAACCTGAAGCAGGGAGGGATCGAGCTGTCCTATCGTGGACAAAATATATGAGCTATCCGGCGCAAGAAGGATTCCCAACTAACTCGTGAGATGACCACAAAAGGTGTATAAGTGCCGTGCGCCGAGTGGAGGCAAGGAAAATATAAAAAAGGCTGCCAGTCGTACGCTATGGTGTTGGTGATGGCGGTGATCGCCTGTCTGATGCAAATATCTAGGCAGGCAATTCGAGTAAGCTTGCCGTCGAAGAGGTCACAGCAGTTGATGGGATTCAGTGCTCCGTAGTTTTGCATTAATCGTATCTCGGGCAAGCCTCTAAAGGCACGACGTAGATAGCACAAAAGTACCCCAGAGGCAAAACCGGAAACAGCGAGGTTGGAAAACGGGAGGGCAGAGGTTGCACCCACGCCCCTGGCTCATCCACGCGTGCATTCAACCGCTCGTTGACGTCTCTTGGCGTAGGAGATGGGCATCTTTTGCTGGTTATCCCTCTCCGACAAATAGCTGCATATTCAAAAGCATTGGTTCCTTGGCCGAGGAAGTCCACGGCAGCATTAGGACTGAGAAAGACGCCATGCACACCGCAGGACAGAAGGGCCGCATGCCAATTCTACCGACGCATGGGAGCTCAAACGAGACGACCGAAAGGAGACGAAGCGCTGTCAAGTTCATGTGTCAATGGGATGGCGCAAGTAGAAG